AGTATTTCATAAGAATAAAGTTTTCTTTTTCTCTGTACAAAGCCCCCCACAGCTGTATGTAATATTTTTTAGAAACACAACTAGTGGAGATAGTTTTAATAAAATAAAAAGTTTCTTTGTTGTAGCTGGACACAAGTGTGTATAATTGTGCAAACCTTGCTGTATACAGTGGATCCCCTCTTGCTAATTTAATGTTATTTAATGTTGTTAACGTGGTTGCCGACTGAGCAAGTTCTGTTGGTTGAAGCAATACTACTCTTTCTGACAACTTTATATATCAGTTCGCCCAACTGGTCTTGGAGTTTATAGATTTTTTTATGTGTAAATTTGGGGCTCCAGAGAACAAATTTATTGCAATGTTAATTATCTTTTATTTTTTTAATTTTTGTTATTTTTGCTTTATGTTGTTTTTTTTTCCTATATGATAATCAACCATGTACTGTACCAGAATTCTGTGCTATACTATAACTTGTGTTTTAAAAGAATTATGCAAATATGTGAAAACTGTTTCTTCTTTTTGTAAATCTGTTGTAGACACTAAAACGAGCTAAGAATACCTCACATTTTTACACGACTTGGAGCAAAGATCTTCTGTTGCCTTAATAATTAAAGCCTGTTTGGAGATATCAGCCAAATACAGTAAGTCATCAAACTCTGAGCAAGACCATTTTGGTGCCAACATCCTTAATCTGTCTACTGTTTATTCATTGTTCAATGTCCATTTGTTCAATAAATACTTTCAATTTGTGTGTGTGGATTATTCATTTTCAACTGTTCGGATGGGTGAATATCCACAAACATATCAAATACAATACCTGATATGTAAAAAAAAAAAAAAAATCACCTACAAACTTTAATTTTATTCATATAGGCCAAAATCACAAACGCAATTTGCCTCAGAGGGCTTTACAACATATGACACCCTCTGTTTTTGGACCCTCACAGTGTAAAGGAAAAACTCGGGGGAATAAAGGAAGAAACCTCAGGAAGAGCAAGTGAGGAGGGGTTCCTCTCCCAGGGCAGACAGATGCAATAATAAAAGAAATATGACTATAACTACTTATTGATTTAACCATTAATAGTATAATATGAGGCCTTTGGGGGCCTTGGAGTTTGGGGTCAGGGTTGCCCACATTGCTCAGTTGGTAATCCTTTTCATACTAAAAAAGGAAGTGTTGGGTGTTTCTCAGAAACTCATAATGATGCTCATCATGATATCTTGCATGGGACACCAGTGTCCAGTAATTGTGTGTTGTGTAACTATAGCAAGCATGCACAAAGATTCAACAGCAAAAAAAAGGACAGGACAGAGGACTGCAACTCTGTATAAATTAAGTTCAACTGTGCTCAAACCTGGTTGTAATTAAGAGTTACACCACATGATGTCGCTGTTGTTATCTGGATACATTTCGTGGTGCTGAACCAGCTTTTTACACCAAGCAAGTTCTAAGTGTCTCAGCTTTTTCCAAAAACAACAAAACAAAAGACCATGCTCCACTAATATTAACAGGTGCACATACCGTGTCATAAATCATCACTATATGACTTTGTGTCTGTGGGACAGACAAGAGTATTCTGTGAAACTCAGAATGATCCAGGATGTTGACTGCTTCATTTTAAAAACAAATTATTTGCACTACATATGAATGGGCCTGTCTGAAGTTTCAATAAGTCTGCTTCATCTACTGTTTCATACTGTATCTGTTATTTCTATTTCCAGTTATTTGACGGACAATGTAAAGTGAACTATAATATCCACCACCCTCAAGCCAGAGCAAAGCCTGTGGAACAGCCTGCAGAACACCCTGCAGGTAATGTGGTACTTAAAGCCTGTAGAGGGCGCTGTGGCCCACATGTTCTGTCACATACAAGTCTCCACAGAAACCCTGGGGTGTGCTCCTTCTACAGCCTGATCTCCCACTTTTGCCCACCAAGATGCTCAAAGATGACAGCCCACTCAGGTCAGCCTGCAGGACTAAGATTCACACTATTTGGTGATTATGTGGTGAATGCATTTTAAATTAAAATTTAATAAGAAGTTTTGTGGAGTATAAGAGCAAATGATAGATGTTAGGTAGTCTAAATAAGAGACCAGGCAGAAGCATTTCTACCACCATTCATTACATAGATTTGCAGTGAACTATACATGCAGTTACTAATTGTGGCTCAATTTCACAATTGCACTCTCCACAATGTAATCATACAAAGTTGCAACAGGATGCAATTATCAATTTAACTACTGTTCAGCTGTTTCTGTTACATTGATTATTCTGGTGTGCGAACCCAGTGCTGGACCCAAAATTATTGTGGAGGATTAGAAACAGTTTATCTTGGCTGGGCACAGTGGGACACAGTTCTGCTCAATCAACATCCTGCTGTGACAATACAAAATAAGAGCTCCACAAGTGAGAGCACATTTTTCATGTGTCAACCGGAGGCTTATCACTATGGAATAAGGTGACCAGAATTTGGAAAAGAAAACTGGAAACATTTCCAGTTGGGCGGTCAAGATATCATTTAATCACATATCTCCATCACGTCATTAGTTACTCACCAACATACAGTTTGCTCTATTTTATTGCCTATTTTATAGTTTGTATCCTATTCTAACTTAAATATTTTAAACATCTTTTTATCTTTTTCTGTGTGCATAGTGTAGCATTTTATCATGCAATGCTGTATTGTATAATGACAAAGATAAATCCTTTAATCCTTGATCAGCATACGCGCCAACCTCCAGACATCATGGCCTAAAAGATGCTGATTTACCCTGAGCTGACATAAAAATGTTAAACTGCCCAAATGTGAAAACATCATTAACTTAATTTAGTTAATTGTTGTAACAACAAATATTCTACAACATGTTTTTTCAACCAGTGATTATGGCATTACAGTTTTCGCTGATTGTTTGGGCACTATGTTTGAAACTGTATGCTGTCTTTGCAAAGTTCTACACACTTTACACAAAACCTTACATAAAACCAGCAAAACATTATCCATGTTTTGCTAAAGCAAACAATTCTTGCAAAATTCTTCAAAATTTTTTTGTCAATACAAGCATTGATTTGTGTGTCAATACACGCAAATCCACTTGGCTTTTGGCTCTTTCCGTGTGCAGCTCATAAACATCAAGTAAACACACGTACACATAGGTATCCAGATGTTTGTCACTGTAAGTGTTTGAGCAGGAAAAAAAAACCTGCAATGCCATCTAGGCATAATAAAGCTGTTTCTGTCAGGACAGTTGAACTCAGCTAAATGGGTGATAAAACACCCAAACTCCAGTCATTACTGTAGACTGTATATCTACTATAATTAGCCCACTGGAGCAAGTGATAATTATCCATGCAACACACCCACTTTCACACTTGCCACACACATACAAATTATGTCTAAACATACTCTTTGATGAACATCTCAGACATTTCAAGTTACAATTTTTCTCATTTGCTTGCAGTTGTCCATTCAGAGGTTACACTTTCAAAACAATTCACACAAAGGCCTGAGGTGAAAGTGAAAGTGAAATGCTCTAACACTCACAAAACATTAAAAACATGCAACAAAAGCAAATATTTCCATCAAACAACACAACCTGTTGTCAAATTAATATATTATTTCAATCAGTCATTACACAATAGAAACAAAATATAAAGCACAGCTATCAATATGAGCTGCATGAGCTCAAATTGTGCTTTGCCTATGTCATTTGTTAATACTTTACATATAATAGGTGCCAAAACAGGCAAGGAGGCATATCACAGCATGTATTGTTTCGTTTCTACAAAGATTGTTTAACAAGAGAAAACAAATCTTGTGGAATTCTGCACCTTTTCCACTTTTTTAAATACAATACATAATATTAAAATACCGTATAAAATGTTATCGTCATTTGTATTATTTTTGTATGCATTCTGTGTCCATCAATTGTTGTTGATATGTAAGACCTACAGTCTCATCATCATCTAGGCATGACAAAGTTGGACATTCAATATTGTACAGCTTTTATGCAACATTCTTCACTGACAGAAGAGCCAATACAGAATGTAACCTGAACTCACAAATAACCAGAAACATTTTGTACTCAATCAATTTTTTCCATGCCATGTCGTTCTTTTTGTCTGAACCGCAACAGCCACATACCAGGTTTAGACCTAGTCTTGTTTCCATCATTTTCCAACTCAGAAATGCTTAATAATGATCTCTTCCTTTCATTACATGCCTTTGGCCTCTTACTTGCAAATAGCAACACAGGTGACATCTTTAATAGATGGATAAGGACTGATTGCTGTTTGAAGAGTTGTGCAAAGGAGTTTCACACAGATGCATGAGAGATTCATAATCATGAAATTATTTTTTATCAGATGTGAATAAGGACCAGCATTATCTATTTACTTATATCTAATTAAGAATGCATGAAAACACAATATATGTCCCTCTCTTGTAAAGAATGTAATTGCTGCTTATTAACTATTGCCACAGTAAGCAATTCCTGTTTTGGTATTATGTTACCTCTATCTGACAGTGATGATAATTACATGTCAAGATGCTGTGGGTTCTTGGGACCACTCAATAAATAAAAACAGATAACCTTTTCTTAAAAAATGTTTTGTCAGAGACTGTCACCCAACTACCTGGATAGATGCCAAAGGGGCAAATAGTTGATCTGAAGGTGTCTGTACTTTTGAGCCTCTATGTCCCGCCCTAAAGTGTTTGTTTTGGCCAATCACTTTGTCCCAGTATCCACCCTGTTTAATGCTGCATTCTCTCTCCTCGTAAATTCTTCATTTCGAAGTCGTAAATGATAAACTTGCATTTAAGCATCATGGTGAATAAATAATGAGATTGGACATGAAATAATCATACTATACAGGCCGTATTATTGTACTTTACATGGTCACACCCGTGTTTTTGTAGCTTCCACTGTTTGGTTTCAGTCGTAGATTCAAATATTTCCTACACACCCTGAAGGCATCGCCAGTTTCCAACGTGCACAATGGTGACGTTTACCATATCATGATGGCGGTAGCATGGACTATTTTGAATTCCGTCCCGCTTTTCGAAGTTTACATTAGGCCTAGTCTGTAAAATGTCTTACTTTACCAGAGAGAAACCAGAATAAGTGAACCTATAACATGGACTCCGTCGTGGGAGACGATTTGACGCTTCCCGTTGACATCAACGGAAGGTAAACCTACCAACGAAAGCTAGCGAGCTAGTGCTAGCATGTAACAGAACGTTATAGCTAACGTTAACCCATTAATCCGACAGCAGAGACTAGTAAACGCTGCACGGGCCCTGACTAGTTGGTGGAACAACATAGAGGCACTCAAATTGTCATGTCGTATGATATATTGTTAACGCTGTAACGTTAGTGAGTTAAGTTAGATATAAGTTACCAAGAGTAGTTAGCTACAAAACGTTATAGCCTCTTGCTTAGGGTATTTATAGCGTCTTACGAGACGTTGCTGTTTTTGTTTTTCCTGTGGTAACGTAAAATTAGTTTGTCGTCTGACATTTGGGTGACCACACATATCAAATGTGTCTGGATAATTTCAAATGTAACATATTTAGCTAACGTTATAAGTTACATTAGTAGCCAATTTAAATAAACGATGCTATTCCAGTTAAGGTTGCGTTTGTGTTTGCACTGACGTTACTGTTGACGTAGATACATGGAAAACACTCTTACCAATGCATGAAAGTGAGCTTGCAACGTTAAATACAAACAATTTTATCTAAATGAGCAAAACCTGTTTAGTGAGGCCAGTTTCACCCAGCCAAATTAAAAAAATGATAAGGTACTTAAACCATAATGACATAATAAAAGTGCAGAAAGGCTGCAGAGAGCCTGTCATGTGTAGGCAAACAGTAACTGTTCCCGTTATAAATCATACTCAGCTCACTGGGTGACACTGCGGTCGCTTTGTCGACCTGTCATTCAGACAGTGAAAGAAAGCGGAAATTATCAGAGCCAGTTTTGCAGCAGGATTCAGATTGAAGCAGCGACGTCTCTCTTCACTGTCTTTGTACAAAATGTGGAGTTACCGGTAGCGTTAACATGTCATACATGTTTTCTGTTTCTGTTCGCGGGCTCTCCTTGACATGACAGAGGAGTGTGACTGTGGTAGGTGAACTGTGCATTCTTAGCTCTGCTCTTAGGTGCTCTTGGTGCATAGTGTTTGCCAGATATTGTTAATGCATTGCTCTTTCTGCTCCTTTTATATGCCAGTTATAGCATCTCAGTGTTTGTAGTGTCCTTGTTTCGTCTCCTTTGTACATGACCTAGCCCAGCTGTGTCCCTTGTGAAAGCAGTCATCCAGGTGGTAAGCGTGCCTCAGTAATCCAAGATGTTAGCTGATATGTGCGGTGTGAATTACTTATTCGTGAATTCTGAAACATGATTCACTTTGCCCTTTTAGTTTAAAAAATATGTCTGTGCGTACTGTTAGTCTCATCAGTTTTTGTTGTTTTTCATGAACTACTGTAATTGATATTGTTGTGAGCTTTGCTGCTTCCATGTTTGTCACCAGCAGCTGAACTGAGTTTGAAAAGAAAGAGGAAGTCACTGTTTATAGGCGCTTATAATGTTTCCACTGGGGTTACTACAAATGCAGCGTCAATAAGACTTGTTGTAATGTCATCTATTTTTCATGAGAGAGTGTAATTTGTGACAGATGTTGTTTTTCATGTTTATGTTTGGTGCTTTTACCCTTATCGTGGCTCTTGTTGTAGAGTGCTTCCTCTCCATTAACACAGGAAGGGGTTGCTCAGCATGTGAAACCTCAGTGATGCAACAATTGTAGACACATTTGACTGATCCTTAGTGTTCTGTGGAGGATTATTGTACTCCTTCTGCCTCATATTCCTCATGTTGTATGGCTTCACTTTGTGTCACAGGGAATATAGGATTACTTTAATGTGAAAGAGTTTTTCTTTTGTTGTTTATCAGTGTCTAAAGGCCTAATTACATTCACCATGATTCAATGTTGTCCAAGGGGGCTATGCCATTTTAATTGGCACTGAATCTTATCTTATCTCTAATGTACTGAAATATGGTGTGTCTAACTTTGTAGATTTTGCTGGGAGTGGAAGCAAAACAAAGATGGGGAAGAGCAGTTTGGTTAATAGTTGAAGCCCAATGCTGTTGAGGCTTTAAAGGTTCAGTGTCTAAGATTTAAGGGGGTTTTAGTAGTGTATAGCGGTGCGGATTGCAGCTTGTCACCAGGTGAAACTTCTCCCAGCTAGAATTCCTTTCATGTTCATTGTTCAGGAGGTTTCTACAGAGAGCTGAATTGCCTGCAGAGGTCTCTTACTCTCCAAAGCAAACTGACATGGCGATTTAAACTGATAAAAACCCAGAATAAATCAGTTTCACATTAACAAATCAGTATTTCCTTGACACTATTTGGCATGTTGGTGATAGGCAGCTCAACTACCACATGGTATTTTGTGTTCACCTTTTTTATCTGATAACTTAAAGTTCAAACGTTCAGGAGGTTTTCACCAGGAGCCAAATTATCAGCAAAGGTCTCTTCCTCTCCAAAAAATGGACCTGGTGATTTAAACCAGTAAAAACACAGAATAAAGCAGCTTAACGTTAAGAAATCAGTGTTTTTCTGACATTGCTCGTTGCAGATGGGCTTTCTGATTATGATGGCAGATATGAAAATGGCCTTATCTGAGGCAGTGTTTGGTTTGTTTGTTCTGGGCTGCTGTAGAAACATGGTGGTGAACATGGCAGTCCCTATAAATATAGATCTGCTCCCTATGTAGGTACAAATGGCTCATTCCAAGGTAAAGAAAACACAACAATTCTTATTTCTAAGTGATTATACACTAAAGAAATATTCTTACCATATTATATTCCATGTCTTCCAATCTGTCCCCCTGAATCTTGCCCACACTGAACCTTTAAATGAAGTGTAACTATAGTAGGCATATTCCAAGTTCCCAGAGTCACAGAAATCCTGGAAAAGGAATTGAACTGTACAAAATGGATTAAGAGTCATTTCATCCGACTCATCAGAAATACAAAACACCAAAAAGCAGTGTTGTTGTTTATTTAAAGAAAAGGCACAGGGGTTAATAGCAGCAAGACAAAAACAGGACACAGGGTCTGTTTTACAAAATTTTAATTTGCACAAGTACATCCTTCAATATTATTATTATTATTATTTTCATCATTTTATATCAATATATTTTTTTATTATTATGCTACTTAGCTAAACCATAATCTGCTAATTTCTATATGCAAAGATCATAAAATATATATGTCTGTAGACATGAGATATAAACAAGTCATGCTGGCGCTGTTGTTCTTTGCTGAGGAATATACCAGAGAAGCAGCAGAGTGGGAGTTCTTCCACCGCCAGGGGAGGTATGGAAAGTAGTTATGCAATGCTGGACATTATATATTTTTAGACGCAAGGATCAAAGTTGAGGGACATGAGCTTTGGCCCAAATGTTTTTGTTTATGAAAGTAATTGACGTCTAAAAGCCAAATTTGTCAGCATCCATTTACACTAATGCTTAATAAACTGCGTTACTATATGTGCCAGTGATGCATTTGTGTTGTGGTAGTACAACCCCGGTTCCCCTTTGTGTCATTTTGTGATCCAGATGTGTTGCTAATGTTTGGTGCATTGTACCATGTCTGTGAGTGACGCCACTGTCCCATCACTGTGTGATGCTTCGCCAATCAGAGCCACAGTAGTCTACTTGTCTAGCAATGAAAGCCTTCTTCTCCGTCCACTCTCTGTTTTTCTCTCCTCTTGTCTCTCTGAACATGAGGGGCTAGGCTGCCACTGGCACATGGTCTTACATGCGCACACAAACACACACGTACACACAGGAGGCTCTGCCAGAATGGATGTAAATGAAGCAGAGAGTCATTCTTGAGCTATTTATGGATTGTTCTTGGGGCCCAATGGAGCTGGCCAGCGTGAGTAATACATAAACGTGACGCATCTATGTTTTGAAGACCATAATAATCAGAGTGTGTACACTGTGCAAGGATAGAGAGCAGAGTTTGCTATGCTTCCGGTGACTTTTAAAAATGTGAGATTGTCTTTCTTGAATGTGGCAAAATGTAACCATGATCTCTTTCCAAATGTTCATAGAGACTAGGCTGCATCGCTAACAACATAATTCTGTCCACAGCTGCAGACTGCCAGACTCCATAGATGCTGGAGATTATTCCACAGACAGCATGACAGGTAAGATTTTCTTTTGTTCTCTCTTCATTTTTTTTCTTGCTCAGGTTGTGTGTCTCTCTCGTGTATTAATTAATACTGCTGAATCGTTGCTGTGACCTCCCACAGTTGTGTCCCCAAAGCTGTGATAAGGGATTAGCTGTATGTTGTTAATTAGGTAATCCTGTTTCTAATTCTTGTAGTGTGCCGACAATATTCTCTGGACCAGAACATGCAAGCCAGTAAACAAATAATTTTTGCAAATATAGGTCAGCATATGTGACTTTCCGTCAAGCTGGGCGTGTGGTCAAATACACAGAGGCATCCAGACAAAACACTGACAGTCGCTACATTATGTAGTTGTTGAATGTGCATATAAATAAGGGCTGGGCAATATATTGTTATTCTATTGATATTGTGATATGAGACTATATATTGTCCTAGATTTTGTGTGTTGTTATATCATAAGTGTTGTTTTTACATGGTGTTAAAGACTGCATCACACACAGTGATTTATTTTCTGAACCTACCAGACTGTTCTAGTCGCTCTCTTATTTACCTTTACCCTCTTAGTCATTATATCCACATTTATAGTAAATATTTTGTGAAAGCAACAATAATCAACCCTACAATATTGTCGCAATATCAATATCGAGGTATTTGGTCAAAAATATTGTGGTAATTGATTTTCTTAATATTGCCCAGCACTAGTTGTACTGACCCTACTAGGGCTCTGAGGTAGGGATAAGAAAATAAACCTTTATTTCAAGAACTAATTTCAGCTGAACTTTCCTTGCACTTACTTGCATTTAGTGCACCAGTGAGGCCAGTGCTGACAAAAAACAAAAATGGATCAGCATAGTCTTGGAAAATAAGCAGGGTTCAAGGTTTTTTGTTTATTTGTTTTGTTTAGGTTTTTTCCTAACCATAATCAAGTTTTACACACTTCTATAAAAATTGTCTTATTTATTAGCTGTTATAAAATAACAACTAAGACTTACATTACCTGTCATGTAATCTTTATTTAAGTAAATTAATTGCCTTGCTCTCAAACTTGTGGCAAACTGCACAATGCATTAGAGTTTCACCCACAACCTCTAATGCCAACCAGCTAAACTCCTTTCTTTTGTTAATACATTTAAATGTAGTGCACTGCATACACTATGTACGTACTTGTGTAGTGCACACATTTGACAGGGTAATGTTTAGGGGTGTAGTCAAAAAAAATCTTGATTGACTGAAATTCTAGCTACTCTTTAACCAGTTGATTGGTTGATGGGGAAAAAAGATCTGCACATTATCTATATGTTAGGCTAAATGGGCCATAGTGCACTGAGTGCGCTCTACCTGGTAGCACTGTGTGTCCACCTGTTTTTTTCCTGTCACAGAGCTTGACATTAACACTTGCACAGGGCAAATAAACCGTGTGTTCAGGCCAGTGGAATGCCTCAAGTAAAGAATAAATGTAATGTATCATTATATCACTGTGAGCATTTATGTTGTTGTTTGCAGTACCATATTATTACTGAATTAACCCAATAAACAGAGAGATTCTGAATGCAGGTTATGTAAACAGCATATTCCATTTGGATATGTGGAATTAGGCCTTTTTCCGAATATATAGCGTTTAAGATTAAGACGTGGGATATGCCGCCATTATTTGGATTTTGATAGCATTATTTGGGCATGTTGACATTATAAAAGACTTGGGTATTAACTAGGGATGCACCGAATATTCGGTAACCGAATATATTCGGCCGAATATTGCAAAAAAAACACATTTGGTATTCGGTGGAATAAGTTAAAAGCAAGGCCGAATAATAGCAGCGTGTTTTGATAACGCAATCAAACAGCGTGCCTTGACGTGTGGAGTAAAATGTCGGCAGTGTGGTGATCCGTCCTTCACTGCACTTGCTTTTGTTACTAAAAATAGTTTTGAGCGAGCAAAATAGGCTTAAATCATTCAGCACGCTGTGCGAGCAGCCTACAGATTTCAACCAGCAGCAGAAACGAAAGGCGAATCCCACCGATTGTGGGTTGAACGGGGGTCGCAGACACAGACAGTTAATGTTTTCCTGTCAAATACGGTGGCCATCGGCTTACCGGCGACAGACAAGTTGGCTCTAATAATATCCTCTTCTTGGCGTCATGACTGCCCAGAAGTACCTGAACAGCCGAGCCAGCCGAACACAGGTATGTGACGTGTCAGAGGAGAAACGAGCTGTTCACGGCCCACAAACCTCACCGCACTTTAGGGACTGTTCTTTACTTATGAAGGGACTGTCAGGGGAGGAGGGTGGCTGGTTGATTCTTATTTTATTTATTTGTTTTATTTTGATCCCCCCTATGTTAATCACTCATTGATGCTGTTTTTGAAGTATGAATAAGTCAATAAGTAATTTATTCCATTGAAATATCATTGATGTATTATAGAAAAGTGATTTATCTTTTTATAAATGACAGAAGGCACATCTGTCTCATTTTCGCTGTGGTATCGTGATACTACTCAGAACCGTGATATTTTCATTGGTATCGTACAGTGGGATCCAATTTTGGTACCGTGACAACACTAATCTGGAGGGGGTTCATCTGCAAAAACTAATGAAAAACTAAACAACAATATTCGGTATTCGGTATTCGGCCAAGTGTTTAATATTATTCGGCTTCGGCTTCGGCCACAAATTGTCATTTCGATGCATCCCTAGTATTAATAGGTTTTTGGATATGTGCAACACCGACCTTTCTAAGAAGGTGGTTGGAGGAATGAAAGAAAGAGGCTGTCCCTGCGCAGTCCAACAAGTCCGCCTCTGCTGGGAAACTTTGCAGAAATCCTGTTTTGATGCAAAGAAACAAAATGACAAGCAGCTCCAGTCATTCCAGTTTTGTATGTTATGACATGATAAGGAACACGTTAGGGCACATTAATGGAAGTATGCAGGGTTGCATGCAAATGGGAATATTAGTGGAATAGTCATTTTCAGTAGCCATGTAAACTGCGTATTAGGATTATTGTCTTTTTCTGAACAAGAGCAAAAATCTGAGTATTTTGTGCATGTAAACCTACTCAGTGTGAACGTACTCATGCTCTCAAAATAGCAAGTGTAAGCACAGATTAAGTTTGAGACACAGCATTTCTCTTCACTCGCTGCAGTTGTCTTGCAAGTGCCCTATTGGCACTGTGCATGTGCAACTCTGAACTGCGATAAAAAGGGAGCAAGATGTTGTATTACTTAGCTACTTCCATCATTAGCTCTGGAAAAATCAGGCAACCTCTGTTGTTGACCCCTTCTAGAAACTGAATAAAACTGTAGGGTTTCATTTCCATCCATGGCAGCAGACATCTCTTTGTCTTTTGCTGCTGTCTTGCTACCCATGTATGACCTTTGCTTTTTCCTACTCTCGTCTTAGTAGTGGCTGCAGTACTTTTGTCAGAAGAGGAAAGCAACATATCTCTGATTTAGAAACAAGTGTACATTTACAAGCAACTGATACAAGTGTGAGCGGTGACGGAGATCTTCCCGTCAGGCCGTCAAACTGTGAATCAAGAGTCAGTGTTGTGAAATGTGTTGTTGACTTGTGTAACATGATCAGCTGTGGGCTGCTTTCAACTGGCCTAAATATGGCAGGTCTCCAGAACATGTCTCGCGTCTGATGCCTCTCAGTGAAAAACATTTTTTCTTTCTCTTTCTCTTTATCTCTCTAAAATAAACACATTCCTGAAAGCTGGGAGCTATTATTCTATGCAGGCAGGGAAGATTCTCTTTGCTACAGAGACCACAGCGCAGTTGTGACTCACATGAGTAAAAGTGTATCACTTTGTTTTACAGCTCCGTCATTCCCTGACAAGATGTCCCCAATCAAAGCTCTCACCATGAAGGACTATGAGAATGTGAGTGATGTGTATCAAGTGGCATGATGTTTCTTAAAGTGGAGCTGCTCTGTAGTAGATTCAATGTTTCTTTGATTGCCCAAAGTCAATTTAAATAACGTTAACTCACTGACTCATATTTTAATTTGTGTATTAATGCTGTTAATTGTTAATAGATTGAAACACTGAGCTTGTTAGTATGAGGTCATGCAGTCAACTTAATCCCACCACAACAAACAGGGTGTTATGATTTATTAAACCTGATCCTCAATCTGACTGAAACCGAGCCGTGTTGACCATTTATGGAGATTTACTGATGGAGTGTGTGTGTAGGAGTAGGATTGAGGTGAGCTGAAGCCTATATTTCAGCATTTGAGTGGAATGCATGCTCAGATTTTTGGCTTGTGCTGCCTGGCTGGCTTCATGATTAGAGGTTTATGGAGGGGTCCAGACTTCTACCTCCTCCCTCTGACAGTCTACCCAACCCCCATTACCAGATGTATGCTGCTCTGAGCCTGCAGCATAATGATGCACAGTCCACTTCACACACATTCACACTCAAACACATACAAGCATGAGAGCCTCTCTTCATTTTAACAACAGTAAACATAATCCTTTTTTGCCATGTAAACATGTTGTCCTACTTTTCCACACAGATGAAGTGTTTGTCTGTTTTTCTTTGACACAAATTGTTTTTCCTAACTTTGTCATTAATATAAGTAAAGTTAATGCACAGATGTCATTTTGGGCTAGACAAAGAGACAAAATATTTTGATACAACTTGGATACAGATGTATTTGTTGATCAGTTATTTTCCTGTTTATTAAAATGTTTTTTGTCATTCACCTGCAGCAAATCACAGCTCTGAAGAAAGAGAACTTCAACCTGAAGCTGCGCATCTACTTCATGGAGGAGCGCATGCAGCAGAAATGCGATGACTCTACCGAGGACATTTTCAAAACGGTATTGTATTTACTTTAGTATGCAAAAATGTGTGTTACACTCCTTGTCTTTGTCATTAGTTTCCCATCGAGACTACTTGAGAACTTCAGCCACAACAACAGCTGGACTTGGTTCAACCAAGATCCTACATTTATGATCCAAGAACAGCCGTCTTGCTTTTTTTTTTTTTTTTCTGAGTGAGATGTAAGCACATTGGAATCTGCTGTTCTCATTAGGGCCGCTTGTGTTTCTTATCATTTTGAGACGCAAAGTGTCATGTAAGAATGTTCTTTATATGTACACACTAGAGCTGGGCGATATGTCACAATCTTCTAACGGGCCACCATGAGCTCAACAACTGGCGATTGCCGATTTATGCTTGCAGGTGTCTGCCCCCGTCCTGTAGTTTCATTGGGGCAACAAGCTTGAGTCTGCTACGTTCCACAAGCTCTCTTAGGCTTTGTTCAGATATGGCCAAAATATGTTTTTTTCCCCACATGTAACGTAGATGTAAGTAGTGTGAACACAGAAATAAGATTTTTCTTCATTCTTAGTAAAAAGCATTGGAAGTTTTGGAAAAGAGTGCAATGAAATTGTTACAGTAGTCAGGTAATGTAACAAAACGGCAATTTATTTTCTGAAGCTGAAAAAAAAAATATTACTGGTCCTTGAAATGTCATGGAACAATTTTAAAATTTTGTCCATAAAAATGTATGCCATCTCTGTATGTGTGGTCCTAAATTCAATACATACCCAGTCACTGGCAATGCAAACCTCTTTGAGAACAGTCATATCAGAATTCATGTGTGTTTTCCCTGTATACATCCATGTTTTTTTCCTCATTGTACTTCACTGCACAAGCACAGATCAGTCATCACACAGCGACTAATAAAGTGAACATTCTTCATGAATTGAAGTCAACAGGAGCCGAATTTAACAACAGCAAAACTACATCAAAATATCCATTTGCAAACTCTCACACAACTCCTGCAATATAATCCAAGTCTCATTTATCGAGCTGTATGCTCAAGTCATAAGCTCCGCTTAAGCAGAGTTTAAATGCACACACTTGCCCAAATGGTCATTTGTGGGTTAAGTATTGCTTTGACAGTGCAACTAAGAGAACAATTGCTAAGAATCTCTTGGATAGTTTTCCTGTTGCGTCAGTGTTTTTGTGATGACTCTGGATGTACAATTTCTGCTATAATGAACTGAATATTATGTGTTTATAGAACATTGAGCTGAAGGTGGAGTTGGAGTCTATGAAGAGAGACCTGGCAGAGAAACAGGAACTACTCGTGTCTGCATCGTGAGTATTGTTCCATATATATTCCTACAGCACAGTTCAGTACTGCCAAATTTTAGTTGGCAGGTAAAAGTCATGGAAGTCCAGTGGCGAAGATATATATGAGTGCTAACCTAATCTCCCCTGTGAATGTTTTTCAGGAAAGCATTGGAGAGTCTGGCTGGTCGAGAATCAGGAGAACCCCAACGTGTGAGAGAGCAAGCTCAGAGGGAGATGGATGCACTTCGGGATGCATTCAACAAAAGGATAGCTGACCTAGAACAGGTTATTAAAAACCATTTGTTTTAATACACTCTTTCAGAGCAGTAATTTTCTGTTTCATTCCAAAGGTAGTTGGGGGTTGTCCTCTCACTTAGTCTTCTTGCCTCATTTTAGAGTCTGCGAACGGCAGAGGAAGAGGTTGACAAGATGGCAGCCATTGCTGAGCAGGAAAAACTTAAGAATATTACAATGGAGAAGCAGTTCCAAGCCCTGGGTCCACTGAGTGCCTTTACCCCTGGTCCTGTCCCCAGCCCAGTCCAAGACCTGCAGCAGGCTCTGCAGGAGAAAGACAAGTAGGGACACACATTATGTTTTTTCTGCATTAGGGTCTAAGTGTTTCCAATATGTTTTATTTATTTTTATTTATTTATATTTGCTCATTCCAGTGTCATCGAGCAGCTCAAGATTGCTTTAAAGAACCAGGAAGCTGTGATCCATCAGAAGAAAAGCGCAGACCAAGAGACTGATGCACCATCAGCTGACTGTGTTAAACAGCTATCTGATCTCATTGCTAAGAAAGATGAGGAACTTGAGGTATGACTTTCATGTGTTGCTTTAGATATTACATACAGTTATATAAAAGGTATAATTTTAGGTGCTTTCCTTCTATAGTGATACCTAAATGCATTTAAAATTGTTTTAGTTCACCAGAGTTACAAAATCTTTTGTTGGCATGTTTTGAGTGTACATAAAGTATATTTAGAGAAATTGAATAAATTACCTTCTTATGCTACAAACCACTAAATAACGAAACATTAGTTGCAGCACTAATTGCAATATTAAAAAAGACATTTCAGTGACCTTTGACTGTCTTTTTTCAGGCACTGAGGGATGAGCTACATAAAGAGAAGGACAAAACAACACCAGACCATCAGGTTGGTGTTGTGGTGATTTCCTCATTAAATGTCTTTGTGAGGTGCCATAAAATGGCTACTGCACAGTGACAGTGACTGCTGGCTGAATGCTAAGCTTCTGCTTTTTGGATCCTTTGCACCTATCCATGTTTTTTTAGATCTTTTGTTGGTGTTTTTGTCTGTCCCTCTGGGAGACTTCTCATGTCATGCACTGTTATGTCATTCTTTTGTAGTCTGTTTTCAGTGATAATATTTCCTCAAACCAAATGCTAACTCATTTAACTGGGCATTAATGCATGAAGCCATTCAAACTTTAAACACTCACAGATTAAGAGATGAACACAGGCTATGGTCTTTACTGTGCACACAAAGCATGCAGAGGATTGTCTGTGTTGTTTTGCTGAACCACAAGAAATGTACTTTGGTGTGTTTTATGGCTTGCTTTTTTCTTTTGTGTGCCTCCCTAGTGTGGCTTTTTTTACCCTCTTCCAGTAAAGAGAAGCAATACTCTTCTTTGTTACCATAATCTTGGGGCTTTATTTCCTATGTTGGCTTCACAATAGGAAGCTTACATCATTATAACTACTTGGTGATGAGGGAGTTTGGACTACTCACTACCGGTGCTCTTTGATTATCACTTGTTTTGCATGCCATTAGTTGACCTATAGAGTAATCTCTCAATTTCCATTAGGGATGTCAGTTTCGGTTAATTTTCTTTCGATAGGTTGACACTATGGAAGTGGTAACCAAGTGGTTAATTAAAAAAAAAAAAAACAAAACGTTAAATATAAGAGGCTGTAGTATGGTGCTCCCTTGACTCAGTGAGCTTAAGCACTACATTTTAAGTGCTGTCCACTGAAATCTTAATGTACTGAATTGTAAAATGTCTTGCATTTTATTGTATTTTTGACAGACAGCCAACAGCATTAACATGATAAAAATTGTGCCCGCCCTCAGCTCTCCACTGGTTAGCTAACGTTAGTCTTAGCTGCTCTGCACGGTGCACAAATGTGCATGTCCTAGGATAGCAAAGGAATGACTCACCCTACTCTTCCTCTGACTGTACTTATTGCTTTAATCAGTTGGATTGGTAAGGTTTAGAGGAGGAGATTGGTTAGGGTTAGGGTAAGAATGTAAGGGCAAGCCAATCAGAGGCAGAGTAAGGCAGAGCAGAACGGGTCATTCCTTCGCTATCCTAAATAATGCAAATTTGCGCACTACGCACCACCCAGCTTGGGTGGAAGCTAGCTAGCAGTGCCACTCATTTGCGATTAGTACCACCAACGAGACAGCATTGCTGCGGAATGGTGACCACCTTCAGGTCTCCCCCCAGATAGCCCCAGTGAGTAGGTGGGTTTATATTAAACTGGAAACCCCTTTAGCATTGTTAACTAAGGTATCTTAGCACCACTAGCTGTGCCAACGGTGCTGTCAGTGATAACGTAGTTAATGCAGTAGAGGTTTACAGCTAAAAAATTAAGCTGCTTACTCACCTGTTTTGGGGGGAAAACAGAAAGTGGGCACAGTGTTTCCACAGCAACGCTGATGGGTCGGGATAGCATACTAGTAATAAATCCCTAATAAGCAGCAACGCTAGCTAGCTCCTACCAGTAAACTAGAGAGAAGCAAAATTAACCTACAGACCGACATGTGTAACTGGTCAAAAATATTCTCGGCAGTTAAATGATTAATGGTAAACAGTTGACATCCCTTAATTCCCATAATCCTTTTAATGACAGTAAAAGTGTATTGGAAATGATTTGCTTATGTATATTAGTCACTTTTGGAAGCTTAGGAATGTCCACCATAAAGAGATAAAGCAATGCTGTTTAAAAGTGGTTATCAGACTGTTGGTAGGAGTACCGTGTTGTTTATGTTCAGAGTGAAAAGCTGTTGTTGGACAGTGTCCATGGTTCCTCATCAGGCCTTGGCGTCTGGACTCAGGTCACAATGTTAAGACCGGATTACCATGCTGTCTGGAGGCAGTTCCTATGAGTTATTTACGTCCAGCCTTCTTTATTAAAGGGAAAAAATGACGCAACCTTCAGTGTTTGTCTGATCTGGGAAAATAAATGACTAGGCTGCATGTATTGCAAAGGATTTTGAAAGATCAGGGACAATGTGTCTACCAGGCATGATTTGTGACACGACAGGACTGTGAGTGACCTCTCCAGGATAGAGGTGTAATGGAATGTGATTGCCAGGAAGCACCTTCTTTAATCTTATGGCAGATTTTTAGACGTACTTGGAGGCAGAATGTACTCCATGGGTGTGTGTGGCTGCTGCTGTCTACAAAAATGATGCAACCTTCAGTGTTTGTCTGATCTGGGAAAATAAATAAATAGGCTGCATGTATTGCAAAGGATTTTGAAAGATCAGGGACGATGTGTCTATCAGAGATGATTTGTGACATGACAGGACTGTGAGTGACCTCTCCAGGATAGAGGTGTAATGGAATGTGATTGCCAGGAAGCACCTTCTTTAATCTTATTGCAGATTTTTAGATGTACTTGGAGGCAGAATGAACTCCATGGGAGTGAGTGGCTGCTGCTATCTACAATGGTACCCCCGAGAAGCACATGTATGGGTCAGATCTTCATACCTGATCTGGTTGTAGAAGGTTTTCTAGAGATGGTCTGGCACCGGCCATTACGCAGATCACTGCAGCAGTCCTAAAGGATTTGATCTGATTGAATGTGTGGGGGAGAGTGGAATAGAGGCAGGAGCAGGGATTATCAAAAGCTTAGGGCTTATACTGCTCTGCACTCAGTCATTCTCCTCTGCGCCTCTCTTGCTGATGGAGTGAGAGAAAACGATAGATGGCTATTCCATGGTTGGCAGGATGATGACCATTAGGTCACTGACCAGTTTGTGTGTCAGCGAGAGGCTTTTTGGACTAGTTGTAAGTGGGTGAGCTTGGAATCCAAACATCTAAGGTGCCATGAAGGACCCATGTCGAATATGTGGTGTTCGTCTGGTGGGAAGCCAGTGTCGCTGGATCTTCAGCTCATCGGCACAGAGGAAGCTACAAATCATCTTGTCCCACGTGCTGGGCTGGGAGGTGACTCGTGATGGACGTGGAGAGTTCCTCTGCGGAAAATGTGTGTTTCAGTTGGAGAAGGTGGTGCAGTGCGATATTAACATCAGCCAGCTGCAGGATGAACACAACAGTCAGATCCAGAAGTTGCAGGCGGAGAAAGACCACCTGATCCAGTGCATCATCCACATTTACAACAAAAACAACCCAAGCTTGTGCAGGAAATACGTGGAGAGCACCAGCTGCAAGATTCCACTCAGGTCCTGTGGGGTGGGCAACCCTGATGATGAGGCTATGTGTCATCTGGCCTCTGAAGGACAGCTTTTCAGAGAGAGTGGAAGTGGTCACGTCGAGAATCGCATGAGAAGATGTGTGAGTCTGGATCGGATTGTTAGTAAAGGGGCATTTCCGGGACGCTTGAGCCTCAGGAGCAGCAGGCTGGGATCAATGGCAGGGCTCGATGGCTCTAAAAGCTTTGGTCTCCGAGGCACACGGCACCGTTCACAGAGCATGTACCTTGACTTGGTCCAACGTAAAGGCATACTGCCTAGACCTGGGTTCAAAGGTCGCTCCACGTCCTTGCAGTCCCTCAATAGAGACTTTTCCTCAGACACCCCTCCAGACCCTCCACCCAAACGAAAACTCAGAGAGCCCAAGGTGTTTGCCCCCAGACATGGTGCCACTGATGACCCAGGGGGCAGGGTCCAGGCCAGAGCACTGCTCCACAGTTCCTCAAGACAACCGTCTGTGATCTCTGACCTGATCCAGCTCCTGCGTTGCATCTCCAAGCAGCAAGTTTCTGCCCCTGCAGGAAGCCACATTCCCGTCTTGAAGAAGTTAAATACTGGCCCTCTCAAACCACGAGCCAAGTGCAGATATAGAGAGGCAGAATTAAAGTCTCTGCATGACCTTACAGAGGAATTTGATGATGAATACACTCCTGTTAGAGTGGAGGTAGTTCTCCCAGCTGGGCAAAACGCTGTAGCACCGGTAATGAGCTGTGACACAGAATAGCTGTGCTGCTTAACATTGCTGGTATTAATGCATTTTTCCCCTCTCTGGTTTTATGTGTTGTCTGGATTTGTTGAGTAGCAGAATGAGGTTAGCCGATTGGAGTCCCGCAATAAGCTGCTGACTGAAGAGCTCACCCAGATAAAAAGCACCAATGAGAACCTGACTAAAACACTGGAGGACACCCAGAATCAAAACAAGGTACAAAGAGATGACATTATTCTCTATGAAATATTTTTGTATTAGATTGAGAGTTTTCTTTATGTGAGATCACCTCTTTGTGTAATCAGACCCTGCTGGGGAAGCTGGAGGAGAAAGAGAATGAACTCAACTCTGAGAAGAAAAATGCTCTCAAGAGAGACAAAACAATCCAGGGGCTTACTCAGGTCTTCAAGGAAAAGGAACAAGAGGTAAGGTTCATACTTAATTTCTTATTGGAGACATTACAGTTGTTGTTAACTGTGACTTCACCTGTCTGTGCTCTCTCTTTTATGTGTTGCACAGATTGCAGAGCTGTGTCATGAGATTGAGGACAGGGATGACGCCTTGGCCAAGGCTAGAGAGGCAGCACATAAAGCCCAGCTGCAGAAATACCAGGCATGTTCTGCACCTTTTTAGGGAGCCAGATTTTATAGAGAGCCAACCCTTGACTTTATATGATAATGTTAATGATAATGGCTGCTTGTGCCACTACATTCACATATTATATCACTAAGAGATTGGTGTTTCTTTTAATGTTTAAGAAGCAGGATTACAAAGTATATTTATCTCCCTCTCATTGCTAAATACACATTGCAGTCTTTGTAAACTTAAACATGTTTGTCTATCAGGGAGCAGAGGAGCACCAGAATCTATTAATGGCAAAGCAAACAGAGCTTGCCCAGCTCCAGGGGGAACACCATGCCAAGGTGCTTGAAGCCCAAAAGCTACAGCGCAGCCTTGACAGGAAGGAGCAAGAGTTGGGTGACTTGCAGCAGGCGAAGGACCAGCTAGAGGTGGAACTGGAGGACCTGCAACAGCAGAAGAAAAAGGGAGACAAGGCCCTCAATGTAAGACAACTGGACAGTGGTAGTCCAGTAAATACTCCCAATAAAACTTTATTGTTCTGTTATCTGTCACCATTCAAATATTGGATTTTGTATACCAGTGTTATCATTTCTCTCTCAAGGATCTGAACAATCAGCTCAAAAAGCTGAGTGGTGAGATCGGGGACAGGGAGAGTGCTCTGGAGCAGCAGTACCAGGAGCTGCTGGATCAAACCAAAAGAAAAGTGCAGGCCCATGAGGTCACCATCCAGCGGCTGACGTCCACTCTCGCAGATAAAGAGCAACAGCTACAGGTGACAGAACAACACTGATGACAGATGGATTCTAAACCAAAAGATAAAAATCTCTTTGTGAATATTACTGACTTCTCCATCGGAAAATCTGTTGTCATATATATTGATAAGGTTGGCATTTTAAATGATTTTAAATTGTTTTTTCCTGTGCTCATCAGGAATACATAAACATGGTGAGAGACTTTGAGCAAAGCAAAAGTCCGGGAGGAAACGATAATGTGCTTTCCAAGCTGCGGCAAAGGCTGAAAGAAAAGGAGAGGGCTCTGGAGGTGCGCATTCCCTCTGTGTTATCTTAAGACCACAATGACTATAATTTGATTCTGACATCCCTGTGTTTGTTCTCTCACAGCAAGCACTGGATGAGAAGTTTGCTGCCATTGAGGAGAAAGACAATGAGATACATCAGCTGCAGCTGTCTTTAAGGGAGAAGGAGAGAGACCTGGAGAGGCTCAATAATTTGCTCTCTAACAACGAGGAAACCATTAATGTAAGTGGCTATGACCATGTTTGAGTGGGGAAAAATGTTTTTGGGAGATTGTGCTTGGATCTGATGCATTTTTTTCCCTGTTCCTGTCCTTCCAGAGTTTTGACAGTCTGATCAAGGAGAAGGATGTGGAGCTGCAGCATCTTTCAAACACACTAAAGAACCTGCAGAGAGCCAAGCAGGATGTAGAAGATAACTTGAACAGATCACTGAGGGAGAAGGACTCCATCATCAGCCAGCTACAGCGCTCCCTGGAGGGGAAGACAAAGGATCTGGATGTTAGTTGAAAAATAATGTCTCTTTCACACCCCCTGTGCTGTATTTTCAGCCACGTCCATCCTGTTTATTCGCCATTCTGGCTTAGAAAGCTTAAATGTAAAAACACAACATTTTTTAACTCTTGTCAACCTCTGTTTTTAGGAAATGGCTGAATCAATGCTGAGCCAGTCGCAGACTCATGCACGTGACCTTGCTGAACAGATGGGCCAGAGGTTAAAGGTCACAGAGGCTATGTTGGCTGAGGCTGTGAAGGCCAGGGAAAGGCTGGTTGCTGACAATGAAAATGCTGTGGAAGGACTGTTGGCTACAATCAGCAGCAAGGATCAGCTCCTCAAGGTCAACATTTATTAATTAAAACATTTACAGTTGTTTCAGGGATTATTGTAAAACTTAAATTAAAACCTGATCCCAGCTAAATGCCAAGTCACTTTTACTGGCCGGGTGTGGCTTGCGCATGTAGAGTTGACCCTGTAAAGGGCTCCCTGCCACCACTTGGCTGAAGAAGTAGAACCAAGCTCCTAGTCTGGAAAGTAACGGCGGGCAAAGTCTCTGATATGAAAATATCTAAATAAATGAAATAGTGGAAGGTCAAATTTAGTATTAAGATTATCAAAGGAGGCAAAAACCTTGTTGATAAAAAAAAGTAGTTTAAAATAAACCAAGCCTTTCTCCTTCCACAAAGAGAAGACTGGGTCAAATGCTGAGGCAAACATACGTGGTTGTTCCAGATGGGCACTAGGGAGGAAAGAGAAAGTGATTTTAAAGTGGCATCTAAACTGCTTCAAAATCTTTACAGTAAATAAGATAATTGGGTTAGAAGTGTATTTAGCAGGGTATGAATTTAGGAGGGGGCAGATCAAAGCTGATAAAGAGATAGAGCTGCATGAGGGAGCTTCATGGCTACAGGTTGTGACAAATTAACACCGGTCTCAATTAGTGAGGTGTGGTTGCCAATGACGCTTTCAAGCAGTTTATTTTTACAGAAGTTCTTTGGATGCAACCTCTTAAGCCCACCGGGTTGTCGGCCGCTCGCTTGAGGTAGTTCTAAGTTGCTCGGATTGCACCTACAAATATAAATGTTTAAACTTTTGTCAAATGAAAGAATGAATTGTAAACATGGATTAAAATATTTTTAAAAGCTAAATCACAGCATGCACGCTTGTTAAAAATGAACTAAAATTGGCTTTGTGCAGCAAATTCAAATAAATTACTTATTCTTTACACGGATATACCAGTTGTATTTACATTGACAGACCTACAAAAGGCCATTTATATGTGCAGGATGTGAGCAAACATCACTAACTGTCATTACGTTCATCTGTTCTTTCTTTTGTCTCTCCAGGAGTCTGCTGAGCACTACAACCGCATGCTGTCTGAACGCACTCAAGAGATTCAGGAACTGAGAAAGCAGCTGTCTGACAAGCACCAGCAGCTCTCCACTGCTGAGAAGCAAAGCTCCACAACAGCCCAGGAGGGTTATTTAGAGACGGCAGAGCTCAGAGCCCAGCTCGCTGAAAAAGAAAGCCTCATCAATGTAAGTTCCCCTGGGATACAGCACAGTCACTCAGCTGTAAAATGTGCTCGACTTAGAAGCACAACAGAGAGAGAAATGAAATCTCCTTAAGAGAATAACAAATGATACTCCTTTCCTTGGACTTCTAATGACATGGTGGCCTATTTTGTCAAACATTTTAGTTGCAGACATTTGAGTGTACTCACTTGTTATCTTTGTAACTGTGCAGAAGCTTCTGCAGCGTGGTCAGGAGAGAGACCAGTTTCTGGCAGAGATGAGGCAGAAGGAGGAGCCGGATCATGTGTTGGAGCTCAGACAAACTATCCAGATCATGCAGGAAAAGTTGGACGAGAGGGAAGGTGAGACCTTTTGAGCTTTAACCCTCTCACTGGTTATTTATATGTTCAAAATAGCACATGTTGGTCCTACCATTGACTCTGTTTTGTCTGCACTAAAGCTGAGCTGTCCAGGAGGAACAGTGAAGATAATGTGGAGAACATTTCACTCTCCAAGAAGACAGTCGTCGTCCTGAAGAAAGAGCTTGCACAAAAAACTGAGGCATTAAATAAAGCACTGAAGAGGGAGAATGAGCTGAAGGTCAGTTGGTTTTAAGCATTTGACTTGGTCCATAATCGGGACTTCCGCTGACAAGTTTCTATTTGTGTAATCCCCTGATTTATTTTCTCGACATCCAGATTTCTTTGGCAGAGCTACAGTCATTGCTATCTGAGCTCGAGGGTCGCAATGAAGGACAGGCTGCTAATATCGAGTCCCTGACTGCCACTCTGAAGACCAAGGATGAAATTATAGATGTAAGTATTCACCCATTCACAGAGTCAAATTCAGTCAATGAAACACACAGTAGCTTTGGATAAGGAGCTTTTCTTCTGAATGCATTTGAGCTCAGCAGCCTCTTTCCTAGTAAAACTCATGTTTTCTCTATGTCTGTGAGCAGGTTCTCCACCAGCGCCTTGGTCATAGAGGGGACAGCCGGGCTGATCATACCCAGGATCAGATCATTGGCTCTGGCATGGAGAGATCACTCCCTGGGCTTCCTCAGAGAGAGAGAACCATGATTGGTGGTGATAGCCAGCAAGAAGTAAACTAAACGCATTACCAACTTTTCTGCTGAATGAAATACCAGAAATCAACATACTGTACACATATGCTCTGGCACTAAGACCATTCATTTTTGTCTCTTTTAAGGCTTTGCCCAACCTTATGGCCTTGCAACAGGAGCATAATGCTCTGAACAGAGCACTGAGAGCTGAACAACAGCTCTACTCCAGCCTGGTTAGGACTGTTAAGGAGCAGGACAGGTAGGGATGATGGTCACTGTAACTAAAAAAACCTTTTGCTTATAGTTAAAAATAAAAATGATTTCTCTGAGTAGCTTAAGTTATTTGATGAACAAGCCTTACTTTGTGTGTTTTGCAGCGCCCAGCGTCTCCATGCTCTGCAGCTGGAGCTGACAGCAGTGCAGCTCCTCAGGCAGCAGCTAGAGGAGAGCATCAAAACTAATGAGGAGCTAAGGGACGACTTGGAGAGAGAGATACACAGAGCCAAACTCAGAGAAGGTGCAGTGCAAACACACTGGGTGGTAAATGACGAGAGGGACTGAATGAAAGAAAAGGAAAGAGCATGTTTTCATTTAAAGAAACACTGTGTTCAGATTTAGGGGGATTTAGTGGCATCAAACGGTGAGGACTGCAGCTAAAACTTCTCTAGGTTAATATCAGTTTTGTTTTGTCCAGTGCTCGTCAGTGGCCAATGCAAAAATGCAAATGGCCCTATCTAGAGCCAGTGTTAATTATTTGTTCTGGGCTACTGTAGAAACATGGCGGTGCAATGTGGTGGAGTCCATGGATGAGGATCTGCTTCCTATGAAAATATAAACACCTTATTCAAGGAAACAAAAACACAAAGTCTAGGTGATTATACATCAAGGAAGACATACTTAATATATTCTATTTTTGCCAATAAATCCCCCTAAATCCTACACACTGGACCTTTAAGTTGTTAGAGGAGTTAGGAAACTATAGCTCAGGGAGACATGTCTCCATAGCTCCTAAGGGAAACACACAGACACACACCTGTCTTCTTTGTCCTCTATGTTGACTCTGATAATATCTCCTGCTGACAAGCTCACATCCCCACTTCTTTATCTGTCACTTCATTCAGCATGTATGCCTAATCGTTGCTCCGCTCATCTTTGGGCACTTTATGTTCACTGTTCTTTGCATCATCACCTCCTCATCTGCATGTTTTGTCGATGGTAGAGTTGTTTTCTCTGTCACTCTTTGAATGTAATGGCTCCACACTGTTTCTCAGTTTGTCTGTGAAGTGAATAAAGGCTGCTGTTGGCCGCTCCTCATGTCTTTCACTTCTAATATACTGTCTGTTTGCTTTCACTGTCTCATTAAACATTTGGTTTCTGTTGATTGCATCACCTCTCCATCACCCCTCAGCCCATCTAACCATCTGTCACATGAGTCAGATTTCATTGCGTAAGCATGTCATTATATAACAACATTAATAAAGGTATTAAAGGTTGCTATACTGCTGTAAAATCACAGGGTATCATGAAATAGAGTCTAATAAATAACGCTATGTTTATTATCTTATGACGTCACATTATTAATGCAGTTAATCACAGTTAGCAACATCAGAGCGTAGCCTTGAGTTAAAAGTCTCACTGCACGCTCAGGTAGTCATCAAAGCCAAATGGCTTCAGTATCTGTCCACATGCATGTGTGTGCTCACCAATATGTGCGTGTCAAGTGTGTGCTCAACCCCAGTCCCTGTCTGAAGAGAGCCAGGTGTGTAAATAGGTCAGCTGTAAGTAACAGGCCCGTGGCTCACATTCACACTGACTGCAGGATAGATGTAGCTACAGTAATTAGTACATTTCCACATTCATTGCTGTGTTAATATAATCCTTGTAATATACAGTGCATACAATGTGTGCATGCTACAGTAAACGAGCACTAATAACACACATAACAGCAATTATATGTCTATATATTTTTTGAACGTTCATTTTTTGTAGCTGTAGATTTAAAACTGCAGCTAAAAACAGCTTTTTGTTGAATTCCATCAATAGATTATTTTATTCAGCTTATAGTATGGTGTTTCAGTATGTGTAGAACAAGCAAGCCAAGATGCAACCATGAGGCATGAAATGATATGAAAATTTCATGTCGCCATTATCCAAGTCAAAATAATTGCAGTTCGTGGTATTATCCTGATATCCATCAGAATATGCTTAAAATGGCACTAAAACATACTGGAATCACTTTAAATTTTTTAGATTTTCAAGCAACTGGATTTATAAAGCCCAATATCACAAATCACAATTTGCCCCAGAGGGCTTTACAGCATAAGACATCCCTCTGTCCTTGAACCCTCACAGTGAATAAGGAACCCCCCCCCAAAAAAAACCTCTAACTTTGCATTTTATTAACTTTGCATTTTGTTAAGTATTTTATTCTGTCACAAAGAGGACATACATCTTTTTTTTTTTTTTTTAGAGAACATCCTTTTAAGTGAAAAACAAATATTCTTAAAAAGCCAGGGTTTTTAATTATTTGAAATGGCATCATATCTTTTGATGAACAGTGAAGAATCATATCTTGTCATGAAATATACTAATGCTTAATTAAGATATGTTGCATTCTTTTAGGATGGTACATAAGCAGCACATTTCTGCAGAGTCTCTCTTATTGGTTGCCCAGCAGTCTCTTTGGATGCTGCTATACATGATACTCATGATTATCCCAATAGTAGAAATTCCTTTTGATAAACTTATTGTGTGTGTTTTTATCATGATCGGCAATAAAATTGTATATCGTCCCATCCCTAATGTCAATCATTGTGAACTGATGTAAAGTTAGAAACATTCTGACAAGAGAACACTCACCTACACAGAAATGTACTTTATTTTCTTACTGCAGAGATTGTGTGTGTATGTGTGTAACCCTCTGTGTATCTGTTCAGGTATGGACCTGATTGACCCTAAAGAACTCGAGAGCATGAGACACCAGCTTGAAGATGCACAGCGCTGGAACGCCTCTCTGCAGGCTCGTTTAGGAGCCATACAGAACCGTGGAGGAGGAGTCGGTGGAGCCAATGATGGTGGTGAGACTAGAAAAATAGCCTTTATATCTTATTTCAGAGTCTTGGCACGTTGAAGTGTATTCAATACATGTGACTAATGTTTTTCAGGTGACACTTTGAGTTTCATTGGAGATCAGACTTCCTACATGAGTATCTGTGTGGGAGAGGGGCAGGATGACAGTTTGTCTCTACTGTCTGCACAGGAGCTCAAGCAGAAGGTGAACATTTGGGGAAAAGTATTGTCTCTAATAAACATAAGAGCAGATTTTAGCTAGTTGGCAAAACATGTCACCAAAACCTAAAACATAAAGAAAAAAAAAACAAGTCATGCAAATGGATTAAATGAGTCTCTCTGTAGGTGCTGGAGCTGCAGGACTGTGTCAGCAGACTGCAGACTTTAAACAATGAGCTGCAGAACCGTCTGTCGTTACTGGAGAAGTCAGACCATGATGCATACAACAAGGAAGACAAAGAGGTGGCCAGCAGTACCCCCTTGAAACAGGTTAGAGGCCACAAAGGACAAAGAGCTGCAAATTAATGGAGGAAAGTGTACTGGAAGTTGTGGCATTTAAGTTTATCTTAACACTTTCAAAGGATACGTAACTGTCATAATAGCAATTTTTTGTATAGTATGTTTACATTTAGCAAATACTGGATCAATCATGTCTGAGTCCATGTCTAACATCCACCTTTATTAGTTACTTTCTAACCTTTGTACCCACATCTTAACCTTTGCTCTGTCTAGCCTGTTACAAATGTGTCTTTACTCTGTGATACTGTATGTCTTATTTCTCTAACAAGTGTGTTTCTTGTCTGTAGTAGAAGATCCTCTTTTTCTCCTTCACCTTTCCTAACCAGTCCCTGTTTTTCTTATCTCTGTGTCCCATGAAATGCTCTCTCTCTTTGCCATGCCACATTAGACACGTCATACCATTCTGCTGTTGCTGTGCAGTGTTTTATGGATTCTGTTCCCTCATTAAGTTTTCTTTTACCGAGCCATGTGTGTCACACTCGCCTCCCATCCCATTACTCTAGCAGCTTGAGAAGACGCAGCTTGTGGTTCACGGTAACAGGACTCATCACTATGGTCAGGATAAACAGAGTCAGACAGACATCAAACTTGGACAGGTATGAACTATATTGTCATTTATAGGTTTTTGAAGAGCTTAAAAAAAAAAGATATAATTAGATACTATTTTTTTCATGCAATTTTAACTGTATTTCTAAACTTCCCCTTTAGATGTTGTCTGGAAGGCTGTTTGGTGATATGGACAGTGGCTTTGGCCAGAGTAGAGAGCATGCTCACTCTAGCAACGACACCTTAGACACTGGAGACAAAGATTCGAGGCAGAGGAACACAGATTTAATGGCACTTAAATCCCTGCTGACTCATTGTGGGGCCACATCAGTCTCGCACCTAAGGTTAGTCTCTTCTTCAGTAGTGTTCACATCCTACTCCTTATTTTTACTCCAAGGGGCCGTGTCTACCAAAGCTTTTCTTCCTGACGCCAGTGTATTTTTTTAATTCTTTGTAATGAGGGCACTGTGTATTTATACTTTGCTAAACGTGCCAGCATTGTGACAAGGCACTGATCATTTATTCAGGTGTTTTTTGTTTTTTGTTTTTTTTTTGTGCTAAGTTCAAAAATGTTCAACTTTGGTGAAACGCTGCACTCGTTACTGTCACATTTTACCCAGCCGTTTAATTGCAGTGGAGGAGGGACAATATACCATGAAGACGAACCGTTACATTTTGTACAAGTGCTGAACTAAACACAACAACAATGGAGAAGATATATGTAAATTTATCTTTATAACCTTTCATCCAGAGCAAGTACTTTACCTTGCACCGACATTTTGCCTTCTGCGTATATTCCTTATCATAGCAACCAGACACAAAGTGTTTTAGCTGAAAAAAACGTTGCATCTCCAAACTGCTCTCAAGTGCTCCCAGCACGGCGTTTCCTGAGGAGTGTATGGCATTTTCAGCTGAGAAAAAATGCTTTGGTGGACACAGGCCTTAGAATCATCGGGTTGATTAAAAACTAATCAGATTCCCCTTATTGCAGGGAGGAGCTGCTCAAACTTCGATCAGAAAATGTAGAGCTGCGGGGTCTCCTGAAAGAACAAAAATCTACTGAGTGTAAAGAGAAAGAGAGCACAGACACCTCAGGGAGCAGCAGCGACGGACAGGCTGAATTGAGAAAGAGTGCGGAAACACTGCAGGCTGACTCAAAAGGTCACTCCAAGGTCATCAATCTGTCACAGGAGAAGGGAGAGAAGAACTCACATGAGGTGTCAGATGGGGAGAGCCCTGCCACCACTGAGCTAATTGTCAGCACCACAGAGGGAAAGGAGAGTCCAAAAACCAAAGACCAGTCACACAGCAAGAGTGCAAAGCAGCATGTCGCAAGGCATGGGGTAAGTTTGTATTATGGTAAGATCTAAAAGAAACATTACATTGCTTTTGCATGAGGTCTAACTGTCAGTGTTTTTAATATCTGTTTCAATGGTAGGTCAGTGGTAAATCTCGCCTCCCGGTCCCTGTGAGGCTGAGAGAGGAGGCTGGCAGCAGCAGGCAGGCTGTGAGCTCTGACCATCTCAAACATGATGCACTTCAGCACCTTCATTTGGATGGTGTATATGGGTCTGACCAGCAGCTGCATCCAGACTCTGACTCCCCCATGTCACCCCAGCTCAGCACTTCCCCTTCTTCCACACTTAGATATGCACATTGCACAGGCAGTCCAGTCGGGTCAGACAAGGGCTCTGAAGCTGGAGCAACACTGGATCACACCCAGCCTGAATCCGCACTTTTCACTCAGCTGGAGCTTCTCCACCAGGAGTGTCAGGAGAAGGAGAGCCTGATCAATAAGCTAAGCGAGCAGCTAGCAGATTGGGAAGAGCTCCACGCTCAGCTCCGGGAGAAGGACCGGCTCAATCGCCAGTACGCCGAGGCCTTACAGGCCGCAGAATCCACCATTGCTTATCTGACTGCCTGCAGTCTGGACAGCCAGGGTGGATTTGGGTCACACACCAGTGCGTGTGCAGGTTCTGGCTGTGTGGGTTCAGATTCTGTCTTTTACAGCAGATGCATAGAGCTGCAAAAGGCCCTGCAGGAGAAGGAGGAGCTCAACAACCAGCTTGTAGAGCTTTTGAGCATGGCAGAGAAAGCCATCGCCTCCCTTGAGAGCCAAGAAAAGAATCCAGAAATCAGTGATTTATATTTGAAGATAGACACAGCTTTACAGCAGGTTAATGTGTCTTCAAATGAACAGAGCCCAAGGGGTGTTTTTGGAGGCACAGAGGACTCTGTGCAGGAGTCACAACGACACACAGACTCTTTGCAGGAGGCACTGTGGCAACAGAGGAGGCTTAATGCAGAGCTGCAGGAAAAACTAAGAGCTACAGATGATGATGATGCTCAGCTTGGCTATAACAGAGACCAGAATGGTAAATGCTCAAGGCAGATGACATTAGAATCACTTCAGGAAAAGGAGTCAAAGGGAGATCAGGGCAAAATGGGAAATTCTGACAATGTCACTTTAAACCAGGAGGTCAAAGTTCTGATGAACTGCCTTAGTGCAGCAGAGTCTGCCGTTGCCTCTCTGGCAGCACACTGTACAAACACCAGCTCCTTGGCCCCTGGTAGATCTTCACAGACTAACCCTGACCTGCACATGAATTTAGACAAACTTCAGAGAGCCCTGCAAGAGAGGAAGGAACTTGGAGAATCCACCCAGCCAGCCACCCAATCCAGTGGCAAGCAGTCAGCTGCTTCATTGGGACAGCTTCACCAAGAGCTCCATAATGACCTCTGCCGCCTCTACAAAGTCTTTAGTGATCGATCTCAGAGGATGTCTGAACTCCAGGCTTCCCTGCAAGAAGAGAGGGGCCGTAGAGAGGAGAGCGAGGTCCACAGGACAGTGCAGGATGTCAAGGGACTACCACCGAGTGTTCAGGTCCAACTGGAGACTCTCCATAAGGCACTGAGGGAGAAGAAGAAAGCATGTAAAAACCTGGAGGAGAAACTAGCCACTGCTCTCACATCCCCTGAAACTGCACAGAGAGGTAAGATAACACATTGTTTTTTTGCACATTTGCCTGAAGTATTTGAATTGTGCACAAACAGTTCACACTTGTAATAATTTTGTGTGTTAAGTTGAACACTTTTGTTTCAACATCAACAACACAATGAAGGAGAGAGACAAGATTCTGTAAATGATTTGTCCCTAACCCGAAATATATTGCTTCCAATGCCAGCTCTGGAGCAGGATGACAAAGGCGTGCAGGTGGATTTGCAGGACCTGGGTTACGAAACCAGTGGCAAGAGTGAGAACGATAGGGAAGAGAGCAGTAGCACAGGTAGACAGTTTTTAGACAGACGTTGCATGTCTGTCTGCTGAGTGGACACTAATCTCGAATGTGGATAGATTCTCTCTTTATGTCTGCATGAGGGGTGAACAAAGACTACTATAACACACTGTCTCTCACCTTGAGAAATGTTCTCTGTTTGGGTCTTATAACGACACACTCTACTGGTTTTAACCTGGTATTTCTCTGCACTATTCCCAAATTTGAATGGGCTGTCAATATTTTTGCATGTTTCCACTGAAGTTCGGGAATGTCTTTCAAGCATTCATTAACCTGTCACTTTTATTTCTTGTCTTATTATTTCACAGCCCAACTGTATCTTAAATTATTTATTTCCTCTTACGGCACTCTCACCCTTTGTTTTCCTGTTGTCTTCCTGTTCCTTAGTTGATTGTTTGTGTCCATTATATTGCCAGATCTGGAGGTTGGCGTGAACCCTAGTTGCAGTGCCTCTAGCCTGCCTTCCCAACACGAGCAGGCCACCTTCTCCTCGACTGAAAACCTGGACTCAACCTCCAGCACCCCGTACCCAAGTTCCCCAGCTCTCAGCTCTGCCAAGGTATTTAACTCACTTTACACTAAACCCCTCCACTGAACAAAGATCATCCAGTCATATCTTATAAGCTGTAACTAGGTACAGATTTCCCCACTTGTTGAGCAGTGCAAACATCGAGTGCCATCTAGTTCCTTTATATTCGAGAGAAGGCAGACATCTCTACAGCTGATATCTTAAGCACTTGGAAACTCATGCCAAAACAATCTAGATTGATAAATAGTACTACAGGTAAGATGAAAAGGAAGTAGTTTTGATTCTGGGGGAACTATCCCTTGAAGCACGTCGTTATGCAAAATGATGTGCATATTTGAGACCCTTACATAATTCTTGTATTAAAACTGCCCGATAGAGACATTAAAAGTCAGCCTTGGAGTGTTTCAAACCAAGTCATGGAGATAATGATAATAAAATACAGCAGAAACTCACATTTGAATTTTATTAACCCTTTAATGTGTTTCCAGGTCAGCCTGAAAAGCCTGCAGATCTATGATGAGTACGGTGTTTCCAAGGACCCTCTGCAGCTGCAGGGACAAGTCCGAGAGCTGAAGGTTCAGCTGGAAAACCAGACCAAACTCATCCTCCAAATGCAAAGTCTTCTGCGTAGGAGCTCTCTGGCCAGTGATCTAGTTGCCAACACCTCTGATCCCTTGGCCATCAAGGATCAGGAAGGGACACAGCGGGAGGACCATGGCCAAGATAGGAGCAACAGAAGTGGGCAGCTAAGGGAGAAAAAGGAAGGTGACAACCATGCAATGAAGGATAAAACCAGTCGTCTGAATGTGGAGCTGGAAAGGGAGAGCACACTGAACAGAAGCATGAGCGATCAGCTGCAGCAGACCCGCAGCCGCTCCACGTCACCAGCAAGGTCAACAGTCTTTTACAGCGTATTATCAAGATTATACTATTTTTACATTGAGTAAAAACTGCATGGTCATTTTGAAAATCAAATCGTGACTCATGCTGTCAACTTTGATTTCCTCCCTCCATTTGTCCTCATTCTGTCTTCTCTACAGACTGGACTCCCTGGTTCAGTCGCAGGCCAGGGAGCTGTCACAACTAAGGCAGCAGATCAAGGAGAGTCGCAGGCTTGGAGCCCTGCAGCGTCGGCAGCTTGACGAGCTGAGCAAGGCCTTCAAGGAGCTGCTGCAGGCCGGAGAAGTCGATTACTACAAGGGGGAGGCGGTCAAAGAGCAGCTGGACAAGAGCCTGACCATTCTGGACAGGCTGGAGGGACGGCTGGACAAAGGTAGATTGTAATTGCGTTTGTTGTCTTTTAAGTAATTGTGCTAATCAGAACCACACTGCACAAACACACTTCTGATATTTGACAAATGATACAGCACTGTCCCAAAATCCACAAATCTCTAGCCTCCACAAATCTCTACCCAACACAAATAAAGAATCAACTTAGTACATTCCTTTAACTCAGTGATCTTTACCTAAATGTTGGGAGTACATGTCACGTAAGTTTTAAAAAGCAGCTGTGTTTGAGCACCTATTGTGCAGAAATGTCTCAGTGCTTCAACAAAGAGAAAACACTAGCCACCATCAGAGAGGGATGAACACAAAAGAGCAGTCACTTGTAACTGATTTTTACAGACAGGTCCTTGACAGCATCTTTTCCCTCTGTCTGCTAGGAGATTCTCGTCTGGATAATGAGGACGTGGTGGCCCTGGAACTGTCTCGCAGGTAGTCTCAAACTCTCACACTGCACTTGCTTAATGTTAGCGTCTTAATTCATTTGCTTGTATTCAATTTGTCACTGGTTTATTCATGGTAGAAAACAAGTATCTGTTATATTTAGAATCAGCCAATCCATGTTAGAGTTAGGTTACAGGGATACTGTAATGGCATCTTAAAGGAATAGTTAGACATTTTGGCAAATTCACTTCTTTGCTTTCTGGCGGAGAGTTATACAAGAAAATTGATGCTTGTTCCATAAAGCAGCCACTGAGGGAAGCCTGCTTCTGTCTACCACATGACCCTCTTTTAAACTGCAAATTGTTGTCTTTACATTTAAGGTTTTGTAGGAATTAAACAAATGAGATTCAGTGTGTTAGTTTGTCATCAGTTGTGTGTTCTGCAGATTTTAAAGTTGATGGGATTTGTGTCTTTCTCATGTGTGGTTTTGTGATTTTTCAGGTCATATTGTACGTGCTCCTGTTTAAGATTTAAGGGTCATTAGCTGTGTTGTTTTGGTGTTTGTCTCGTGACCCTTTTAAAGACACCCCCTCCCCACCTCCACCCAGCCAATTGCCTTATGACCTCAGGCGGTGCATGTGCTATTGGTTTTGAATAGTGTCCTGCTGTTGACCTAATTTTTTCAGTGACAACTAAAACATCAGGGTCATACTGTCTCCTAACTGGGTCACTGGTGTTTCTGAGAAATTTGAGGGGAACACACACACACACACACACACACACACACACACACCGCATGTCAGTGTTAAACTCTTCCTAAAACACCTTGATCAGTATATATGTACTGTTCAACTGTCTTGACACTTTGTAACACTTCACCTTTATTTCCCACCATTGTCAGGAAGCAAATTATCAAGTGGTGTCCTTTAATTAGATTAGAAATTCAAGTTTTTGGTGTTAATCTGTATTATTACTGATGTGGGCAGTGTTGGGGAGCTTCAGCTGGGATCACAGTCTCTGCTGTCCTATGAGGAGAGCATGAGAGATCCTCTTGACAGCCCGGCTAGAATCCAGCAGGAGATAGATAACCTGCGTCTGGAGCTAGAGGGCGAGAGAGAGCTGCTGCAGCAGCACATCAGCCTCCTCGTCCAGCAAAACCTCACGCTGGCTGAATGCACCAGGGAGCAGCTGGACCTGTGAGCGGGTTTGATCCAGGCAGATAGCATGACGTTTGCTGTGAACTCCTCTTTCATGTTCTCTAGCTGTGTGTTTCTGCTGAAGGTTACAGGTCTCCTAGTTAGGAACATATTTTTCTTGCCACCCTCTGTCTTAAGTGGGTACTCTTTCTTTGGGTGCTGTTCTTTATGTGCTGTGTACTTATCCTCCCTGTTTTACATTGTTTTGCTCTCCGGTGCCCAGCAACATGATGTAATGGATAAAATCTAGCTGTTGGGTCATCTGGGAGACCATGTGACCAACATGAGTAATTTTCCTCCTCTTCCTCCTCCTCCCAGGTTGGCTAAAGAGCTGCAGGAGAAGAACCGTCTGATCCAGAGCCTGCAGAGCCAGTTCAAAGGCCAAAGTCCCAGCAGCCACCACAGCTCTCACTCTGATCTGTACCCCTCAGACAGGACCTCTTCCTCCTGCCACAGCAGCCCAACCACACAAGGAGGCAATCAAGCCCATAGTAAGCACAAACGTTTTCATATAAGCTGCAGATTTCTAGATATAATACTAGAAAATAGTCTCAAGGGGGGGGGGGTCACAGTGTCACAGCCAGGTATATAGTACTAGACTGTTTGGTTGTTTTAGACCACACTAAAATTAACTCAGTTTCTGTAAAATTGCATATTTCCCATCCTGCCTCGGTCATATATCACTGATTACCTGAGCCTTGTCCACGGGCCAGGCCAGTCTAGTCGCAGCCTGTAATGGCACTTATTTTCCACTCAGATCCTTTCTGTTGCAGTGAGGCGTCCCGCAGCACAAAGCATGCCGGCCAAGGACAGAGCAGGTGTCCAGTTTCAATCCGCCTCCACTTAAAGTTGCATTATTCAGTGGCACCTATCCAGTTCGATCTTCAAATTGTGTTTCCCTTGGGAAAAGAGACAGTGAAGGCTATTACAGAGACAAGTGAAGCATGTAGATATGTGACAGGTCCTGCAGAGGGGCCTGTAAACCCAAACTCACATTTCCTTTACTGCTACAACACTAAACCTGTTTGGCTTGGTTGCTGTGTTACTACTTGTGGTAGCATGAAGGATATAGAGAAGGATTACATTTTGGTTTACCATCTCCAGCTACTGAAGTTGGAACATGACCTGTTTAGGAATTAAATAATAAGCAGTAACAAAGGCCTTTCACATAAATATTATGTTTTAAAAAAAGACCTTTGGACCTTGAAAGTGATGAGGCAGGTCAACGTCGATTTTGTACTTTTTCATTGTTAATGTATTTACTTGTTGTATCTTTAGGCCAGCGACACCCAACTGATTGGACGGGAGCAGCTGTCACTCCTGTAGGAGGAGCTCAGGAGGAAGGTGTGTCTGGTCTCAGGGACACTGCCAGCAGACTGCAGGGCCTGCAGAGGGAGAACGGGCGACTGCAGGAGCAGCTAAGGGATAGCGAGGACCTCAACGCCACCCTGCGCAGTGAACTGGACCTGCATCGCTCAATTATGGCCCAGACCAGCTCCTACCATCAGGAAAAGGATCACAGCCATGACCTGGATGGATCAGGGCCGCAGATAGATACACATAAAGGAGACCGAGACACTGGCTCACTAAAGAACGCTGCTGAACAGCCTCGCGTGATGAATTCAGGTAATTATGGTTCGTAGGTAGGTTGATTGTCATGTTAGTTATTTAGACTTTTTTAACTTTAATACTCTTTATTTTTTCATTTATTTTTTTTTAGCTTTTTGTATTTGATGATGTTGTAGCAACCTTGTGGGGTTTAGCTGTCTGAATATACATATGAAGAACTATCTATTAAAGGGGAAGTCCACCATTTTTCTTATTTTGTAACGGGTATTCAACCTGTGAAAACAATTAAATTATGTATTTTGTGGGTCTGAAGGGGCTTTTCAAAATATGCGTGGATATGGAGAACACTGATTATTTGCAGAAAGCCTGATTACAAACTTGAGGCATGTACCTTTACCATGCAGGAAGGTTCAAAAAAAGAGGTACTCAAGCATTGCATTGCAGGAAGCGTAGGTTCTAGTGTTTTTGTAGCTTGACCCATAGTAGGAATCAAAAGTGAGGATATCTTGACCTCTACTGTTGAGATTTTGATGGTTTCTTTTTGAATATCTCTCAAATAAACCTGGTATTATGTAAGTACAATCAAACATTCCCTTTTAGCACCCCTTTAACTAAGGTTTTGCATATACATCTCTCAGACTTGCTGGCAGAACATCTGCAGGAGATCCGAGCTTTGCGACAGCGCCTGGAAGAGAGCATCCGCACCAACGACCGTCTCAGGGAACAGCTGGAGAAGAGACTAGCAGAGGTGGAGAAAGACCCAGGTACACACCTGAAATCACCTGCCTGTATTTCATTCTCTCTCAGTCAGGGTGATTAGCATGTGTGTTTAGCATGTATATCATTTAAAATAAAAAATACTCTTTGTAGGAAGCACGCTTTGGTTTAGTGATGAGTGTATATATGTGCTCATGTTCAGCAGCCACCAACATCTTCATCCATGGCAACGAGGAGCAGGGTCAGCTGGCCAATGAGGTGCGATTCCTCTGGGGACAAAACCAAGCCCTGAAGGAACAGCTTAGCCTGGGATCTAGAGGTAAAAAATTTTGGGCAAGCTAACTTTAACCTGTAATCAGGAACACATCTTTTCAGTCAGTAGACCAACAGATGTGGTCTGTCCTGACAGGTGGTGCTGTCGGTGCTTAAAACTAACTATCATGACTAACTTAACTTTTCACTAACTTTAGAAGATTTATATTTCCTCCAGATAAGCAGAAGGAGAACGAGAAGCTACGGGAGACTCTGGCCAGGCGGACTGCCAAACTGGAGCAGAGCAGGAGGGACTGCGAAGCTCTGAGGCAAGAAAACAGTCGACTGCAGGAGAGGCTGGAGCACAGCAGCCAAGAAAACTCACAGCTGCAGGAGTCACTGCACTACAGCAAGGAGGAGCTGCACAGGTACACACACACACACACACACACAGGTAACATTCACTAGCACACGCTTCTAAATGTGTCCTCGCTGCACACGCATACTATCATTACTACTCCCCTTCCTCATGCAACCTGAAACTACACAGAGCTCCTAATCACCATTGTAATGAGTCATCACTGTTAACATTATTCCATATTATTAGTACAACTTGGAAACATGATAGTCTATCATTGTAGGCTCATCCATGAACACACACATGCATACATACCATAATGATGGTATGTGACCTCTTGCCCTGGGTCCTACTGACACAGATGAGTGAGGCTGACACTTGAAACCTGGAGTCTAGTTTACTGTCAGATCACTTCTCCTCTCCCTTTCCTTATCTCTTCAGTGTGTGTGTGTAGTGTTGTAGGCTTATGTACTGCATACACAAGGCTTTTTACTTTTTAGAGATTTTCCTTTTTCTTTTTGAGGACACAGTCATTTCAAGATGACTTTTCATCACCGCATCTATGTTTTATATATTCAGTTGCCAGATTGTTAAGTACACCTGACTGAATTGAATAAATAAAGTAGAACAAACCAGTCCAGTAGTAAATGTTGCCATCAGTAGGATTTTAATGCTCAGCAGTGTTTCCCCTAGGGTTACTGCTTTGGGGTGGCCAATTAATTACCAGGGATGGAAATAACAAGCTTCACCATATCATTATTGATTAAATTGACTCCACTAACACACATGAAACATGGCTCAACAACAAGAACATTTAAAATATGAAATTTGGCTTGATAATAACTGTCAGGGTCCATAAACTAAACAGTGTTTTAGTCTCTTTACGTTCAAATAAATAGACCGAAGACAGTTGAAAAAGTCTTTGTTATAGAACGTGAAAATTAAAAAGATAGTAGAAAAGAAAAACTGGACACACCTAAAAAACATATACTATTTTCCTCTTAGTAGGTAGATGTTTTGTTGTTTTTTCCAATAATTGAATTTGGTGTGTGTCGTGTGTGTGTATGCTTCCAGGTTGCAGTGTGAGGTAAAGCTCCAGAGGCAGCAGCTGTCTGACTCCCAGCATCTTCTGCAGTCACTGCGGGTAGAGCTTCAAGTCTATGAAAAGATCAAGACTGACACTCACAAACACAACGGTACTGCAAGTCTTTTTTTTGTTTGTTTGTTTCTTGATAGCCTCTTGAGTGTTATGTAGTTTAAATAGTAATAAATAGTATTTACTTTTTCTCCTAAAGTGTAGAGCCCAAAATACTTCCACACACTGCTTCTCAGATGCCTCGGTGTCGTTATCGTCTGCTCAGGAAGGCTTTGCCAGTGCATCGCCAGTGTCCTTCATTTTCATAGCAAACAACATTAACACCTTTGCTTAAGCTTAGTTTCATGAAAGGTCATGCTGACAGGTATGTTTTTTAGCGCCCTTTTCTGAGTCCCAAAGCAAACTACTTTAAATGGTCTGCTGGCTTATAGACTGTAAATTAATTGTAATTGCAGGCTCAAAGTTATCTGTGTTTAAACGAACAGACAAATTTTGAATAAAAAGTGACAGTCCTAACTGACATAGAGGTGATAGATGCACACATCGTAATTATTTTTTTGTTTTTTAGATTGCCTAATCACAGCTCAATAGCAAAGATAATGTACATGAACATGGTGGAAAGAAAATGAGAGACAGTTACATGACATTCTGCTTTTGTCTGCTTCTGGTTCTGCAATACTAATAAGTTTCCTTCCCCCTCTCTGCAGAATCCAGTGAAACGACCCCAGGGCCTGTCTCCGTCCCTTCCTCCGGCTCAGTGGACCTGAGCGAGCTGCTGTTGGAGATCAGACACTTGAGGCTGCAGCTGGAGAGGAGCATCCAAACTAACACGGCACTACGACAGAGACTGGAGGAGCAGCTGCTCAGAGGACAGAACCGCTCAGAAACCATCAACATCAACTATCTGCTGTCTTCTCCAGGTAAACACAAGGCACAGACTCACATGCTTATCACCTGTGACAGATATACAGAGGCATATAAACACATACAGGAATCTGCCAGGTCGTGTCAGTGTTGGTTTTACATTTGTCGTAGATGAGGGAGGCAGGTCACCAGGTCGTGAGGGCTGCGATCCTGTCCGTCACTCTTTTCAGAGCCACAATGAGCAAACCAGTTTCCTCCATGGTAAGAAAACCTTATCAGAATTGACATGCTGTTACATTATAGTAGTAAACACAGATTATTAGTATTGTTCTCCAGCGTTGTGCATGACAGAGAATGAACAACAGTATTTCAAAACATCTTTTCAGATGAGAAACGTCGTGCTCATTCAGAGGTGGATGGTGGGTCAGTTGGCAGCAGCTCTGGCGACAGCGTCTCTGGTGGTCCCTCTCGTCTGGTGCCAGGACACCGGATGTGGGCCAATCGCAACGGCCGGCATATTTTGGGTCTGATTGAGGACTATAATGCCCTCCGTAAGCAGATCTCAGATGGACGGAAGCTGTCACACAGCATGGACGCACAACTGCAGGAGAGTCTGCACACACTCGAACAGCAGGGCTCAGACAACAAGGTACTAATAACCTATCATATTTGAAGGGAACCTGTCTTATTCTTCCTTATTCTTTGTCATATGTAATGTTACAATGTCAGATGTTCAATTTAAATGTGGCCAAAGTTTCTCATTCATCCTTAAGTCAGGGAAACATGAAATCTTATGTTGCAGATGTTAAATTCGCCCTGATTTCGGATTATATTCCTGCTGAAACAGTCCAATTTAGAAGTTTTTATTGGTGATTTTTCATCACTGCTTAGACCTAACGTTGACCAGCTTTCCTCCTGCCAATGTCAACATGAATTTGTCGTTCACAATGTAGCATTATCAGGGAAACAACACGGTGTGTCCCCTCACATGTTGATAGTGAGTTTACTATGTCCTTTCGTCCTGAAGGCATCCTGGGGAACATCTGTCTTCATCCCAAACCCTTTTTTTTTTTTTTTTACCCCAGGATGATGGGATGCCGTTAGTTTTGAGCCCTGCTTTTTAGCCTGTCCAAAACTGAGGGGGCAGGTGCTAAAAGGAGTCTCTTAGACAGAGGGTGAGCACAGGTGTTGAGCTCAGATAGTGTGAGGAAAATAGTGGGGTTTTTTTTTTTTTACCATTAAAGCATGTAAAAATGTTCTTGTTGAAAGCCAAAATACATATGAACTATGAAATATGAACTTGAGAATGATCATAAGAGGTCCCCTTTAACATGTTTTTAGTTGCAGTTTGTTGTGTATTGATTGATAATAAAAACAAATGAAATGTATGAAATGAAAAGGTTGTACTAATGTTTAATAATGTAAATAATTTTATTGCACTGCTTGCATAAATTATACATAACCAGCAACTAGTGTTAATGCTGTTATGTCTCCATCTTCACAGGTTACAGAACAGCAGCACCTGAAGAGTTTGTCTAGCAGCATAAACACAATGCAGCACGTGTTAGAGGAGGCTGGTCGACTGCTCAAACTGGTGTGGAGAGTCTCTTTGCCAGCCGGTATAACAGCAGGGGACGGCATCAGCAACCAGCAGGTGGACATACACAAACGTGTACTGTATCTCCTCTATCCAATTCGGTATCTACAGAACCAAATCTTAATTCTTTATCCTCTGTACCAGGATGAGTTGCTGAAAAATGAGATAGCCAGACTGAAGAGCCGGCTGTCACAGCAGGAGAGGATGCTGAGTGGAGCTGTCAAACGCCTCCGAACAACCAACCAGCTCAAAGAGGGAATGGAAAGAGTCATCATTGATCAGTGTAAGATTATCTTGTCTTACTCAGTTACTGTATTGTATACTCATAAAGACGCCTCTTTACTCTGAGGCATCTTTATGAACTAAAGTTCTATTCATTTTTAGTCACTTATCAAGACAAAAAGTCAAATTGCTTTTAGATTCTCCAATTTTTAACCATTTTCTTTACTTTATTGGCCGATAAATCACAAAACTAATATACACATTAATCAGTAGTGAAAATAATCATTAGTTTTAGCTTTTCTGTTTACCAGTGTGTAAATAAACTGGGATATGTGACTTTATTTGACGTGAATTATGTTTTCCAATCTAGTGTATCTAACCCATGGAGTGCTGAAGAAAGCCAGGGGGAATTTAGAGGTGAGTTTACCAAAAATCACATGCGGCAGTTATAAACTGTCAAACGAATGTTCTTGTCCGCAGTGGTAAATTCCTCTTCAGTGAATCATTCTTCTTTTCCTTCTCACCCTCCATGTGAAATAATGATAGACTAATTACTGCACCCTCTTTGGCCTGAAAGGCCTGTCTGGAGGACCAGACGAAGGTCAGTGTTCTTGAGGTGCAGGCTTTAAGAATGATCTGATGCATGAGACCCTGCTGATTTATCTGTTGCATGAAGCAAATACCAAAATTTTAATGGATCATGAGATTCTGAGATTTGCCATTTTATTGAGTTGACTGCAGTCATGTTATAAATCCTACCACTGTGTCTATTTTGGACAGTATATATTGCATTAGGATTTAGCTGGCTGTAACAAATCAGGGTGTATGCAGGAATCTTGAAGTTACATTAAATACATTTAAGACCTTTTTTAAGACACTAATCAGACATTTTAAGACCTCATCACCACTTTGTTCTAACCATCAGTAACACAGTGTAACTTACATTTATGATACATTGATACATACCATATTTTAGACATGGCATAAAATACGTGCATTATATATAGTCATCCGCAGTCTGTACTTATAGTAAAGCATGGCAGGAAAATATAAAAAATGTCACAGTTAAGTATTCTATTCAAAAGTCAAAATATGGTATGGCATGTAGATATTAGAAAAATGTCAAAGTATACTATGACATAACTATTTTTTTCTTAATGTCTAACATAAAATTTTAAAGAAAGCATATAGAGTATAGTATGGCATTAAAACAGCAAAAATATAATATGCCATTAAAATATTTAAACAATTTCATGAAATAGTGTGACAAACATAAAAATAGTATACTGTGGCATGAAATAAATAAAAATGTCAGTATAGTGTGACATAAAGAAGTGTCATAGTATAGTATGGCATAGAAATATTGTACGAAATGTCATAGTGTATTGTGGCATAAAAATATCATCCAAAGTGGCATAGTATAGTATGGCATGAAAATATCATATAAAGTGCCATAGTGTAGTATGGCATTAAAGTATCATAAAACATGCCATAGTATAGTATGGCATAAAAAATATCATAAAAAGTGTCATAGTACACTATGGCATAAAAATATCAGAAAAAGTGTCATAGTACACTATGGCATAAAAATATCAGAAAAAGCACCATAATATAGTATAGCATAGAAATATCAGAAAAAGTGCCAAAGTAAAGTATGACATAAAATTTCATTAAAAGGTGTCATAGAATAGTATGGCATAAAAATATCATAAAAAGTGTCATAGTATAGTATGGCATAAAAATATCATAAAAAGTGCCATAGTATAGTATGGCATAAAAATATAAAAAGTGTCATAGTATAGTATGGCATAAAAGTATCATGAAAGTGTCATAGTATAGTATGGCATAAAAGTATCATGAAAGTGCCATAGTAAAGTATGACATACAATTTCATAAAAAGTGTCATAGTATAGTATGGCATAAAAATATCATAAAAAGTGTCATAGTATAGTATGGCATAAAAATATCATAAAAAGTGCCATAGTATAGTATGGCATAAAAATATAAAAAGTGTCATAGTATAGTATGGCATAAAAGTATCATGAAAGTGTCATAGTATAGTATGGCATAAAAGTATCATGAAAGTGCCATAGTAAAGTATGACATAAAATTTCATAAAAAGTGTCATAGTATAGTATGGCATAAAAATTTCATAAAAAGTGTCATAGTATAGTATGGCATAAAAATATCATAAAAAGTGTCATAGTATAGTATGGCATAAAAATATCATAAAAAGTGTCATAGTATAGTATGGCATAACAATATCATAAAAAGTGTCATAGTATAGTATGGCATAAAAATTTCATAAAAAATGTCATAGTATAGTATGGCATAAAAATATCATAAAAAGTGCCATAGTATAGTATGGCATAAAAATATAAAAAGTGTCATAGTATAGTATGGCATAAAAATATCATAAAAAGTGTCATAGTATAATATGGCATAGAAATTTCATAAAAAGTGTCATAGTATAGTATGGTATAAAAATATCATAAAAAGTGTCATAGTATAGTATGGCATAAAAATATCATAAAAAATGTCATAGTATAGTATGGCATAAAAATATCATAAAAAGTGCCATAGTATAGTATGGCATAAAAATATAAAAAGTGTCATAGTATAGTATGGCATAAAAATATCATAAAAAGTGTCATAGTATAATATGGCATAGAAATTTCATAAAAAGTGTCATAGTATAGTATGGTATAAAAATATCATAAAAAGTGTCATAGTATAGTATGGCATAAAAATATCATAAAAAGTGTCATAGTATAGTATGGTATAAAAAGTGTCATAGTATAGTATGGCATAAAAATATAAAAAGTGTCATAGTATAGTATGGCATAAAAATATCATAAAAAATGTCACAGTATAGTATGGCATAAAAATATAAAAAAAAAGTGTCATAGTATAGTATGGCATAAAAATATCATGAAAAGTGTCATAGTATAGTATGGTATAAAAATATCATAAAAAGTGTCATAGTATAGTATGGCATAAAAATATCATAAAAAATGTCATAGTATAGTATGGCATAAAAATATCATAAAAAGTGCCATAGTATAGTATGGCATAAAAATATCAAAAAAAAGTGTCATAGTATAGTATGGCATAAAAATATCATACAAAGTGTCATAGCATAGTCTGATATAGAAATTTCATAAAAAATGTCATAGTATGGCATAAAAATATCATAAGAAGTTATAAATAGTATGGTGTCAAAGACATTTTAATGCTTTAAGACACCCTGCTTACAAACTGTTAATTTATCATTTTGTGTTCAAGTGACTGTGGAAAAATCTGCATTTTTGATGCATGATAAGGCTTTTCTTCTTGGAGGAGGCATCTTTAAAGGAACCGTTGAGAGTTTTTGCTTTTTCACTTGCTTTTGCCCTTATAGCTGTCAATAAGTACAACCAGGAGAAACAGTTAGAACAAATAACTTAGTCTTTACAATTCGTTTTTTGTAGAAATTTAAAGAAGTATAAAGTGTTGACATATTTTAATCTTTTGATGTCCGGGCTAGCTGTTTCCCCTTACTTTCAGTTTTAATGCTAAGCTAACTGTCTCCTGGCATTAGCTTCATATTAAACAGATATGAGAGTGGTATTTCACAAAATGCTTAACTGTTCCTTTAAAACAAGATGTCAGATGCATGTGTCTGCAGGCAGTTGTAAAATGTCACTATGTATAATTTTTTTACTTTGCATGTCAAAGGCTGAAGATGTGAAGTGACTGTTCGTGCCCCCCTGTATTCACTCTGATGTTACAATACTTGTGTTTTCTGTTTCAGGAGGTCCCAGTCAATGGCCAGTAGGGGACACTACAGACCCTCAGCCCGAACAGATAAGTGTCCCTGTTTCTCGAGAGGCTGCAGACCGACACTCTGAATCCTCAGAGGATCGCAACAGTGAGACCTCTTTACACTGCAGCTACTAAACTTGCTGTTTCAATGCCCTACACTGCTTTTGATAATGTAGCTACCTAATCTTCATCAGGCCTGATCCCGGCTTTCTGTCCTGCTGTAAAACTGTCACCTTATTCTCCTGATATCAAAGCCTTTTTGTACTATACTTGCACATGACCTGCCTTTAATTTGATTTTAGGTACTGAAGTTGTAAAAGTTTCTTTCTTTTAAAAGAAATGCTTTGTAAATAGTAATTCCTGCAATTTAAATATTTTTCCTTTTATTCTTTTTATATGATGCATATAAGAACATGAAAATGTATTTTATTACTGAATTATTGTTTTTACCTTTTCATTTTTATTGGTCAGTTTATGTATAGGATGGTTCAGGTCTACCATGTGTTCAAGGAATTATGTGCAAATGCAGTAAAGAAAAGAATTTAATGATGAAACCAAACTGTGGTACAAAAGTCCCTTTATTAGCATATACATTTTTTAAGTACAAATCTTAGCTGCTTCAAAGTGTGTACATGGATGAGCACAGATAAGAAAATAGCAAAGGTCAGATCAAGATTTAGTGGAAATGAAGAGTTAGAAAAGATACAATGGCGCTTTACAGAATAAGCTTTTCTACTACATTTAGTTAATATACATGAGAGGATTATATTTAAAAAGGTCTAATTTTTTAAGTAGCACTTGAAACATGTCTGGTCTTTATGTATCATAGAAGTGACCTATAAAACTAGGCCTTGGAAAGATAAAACACAGTCAGTGACTGATGTTTAGTAGCACCAAGATCTCTGCAGACACAGATCTCTTCATTATACATGTTCGTTGTTGACAATCAGGCAGCTTCTCGTTGGCCTTTTAAAGTAAACACTTTGGTTGTGGTCGTGTCAAATTTAGTTACGACAGCAGTTTTGGCAAAATGAAATGTTGAACAGATAATGGCTCCAATCATTAGAATAACACACACACACACACACACACACACACACACTCCAGGTCAAAAATTTGTGCTATTTAAACTACTGCAATACTGTATACATAAAAATGATTTTTTTTTTTTTTTTCTGATCATACTACTGGAGGTACAGAAACAATGTTGGCCTTGTAAAACAACAGTGAGTGTTCGTATTAGAGGAAATCTACATCTATCTTTGCACAAGTCTGACGAAAGCCTGAACGAGCTGGATGAACGGCTCCTGACCTTCATGGCTTGCCTTGGAGCCTGGTGTGGATGGTTTGGATTGGGTGGAGGGGAGGATACCGCTGGCCGGAGACGATGGAGAGCCCCTGCGGAAGTGGCGGGAAAGGCTTGAGAGAAGAGTGCTCTGGGGGGTGAAGAGAGAAAAAGAGATCATATTCACTAAGTGTACTGTACGGTTAAGGCTGGGGTTATTTTGTTTTTCTCTTATACCCTTTTTCAAACTTAGCGCATGTATACAGGATTATTAAACACAGGAAAACTAGTTAAAAACAGCAGATACACTCCTTTTCCATTGCCAGCAGACTTCGTAAACTTTGTCAATTTTATTCAATCTAATTCAATGAAATGTAATTAATTTATTGTTATGGATTCAATGCAACAAATTAAAATCATCTTCAATTGGAGACGACACTTGAAGAGACATGTGAAGACTCACCAGCTCAGAGCTGAGCTCCTGTTTGAGCCTCTGTTTGTCTCGAGGGAGGATGGAGGGATCTTTGAGACACCGAACAGCCTGAGAGATCAGCACGTAGAAACAGTTCTCCATGGTGAACATCAGCAGTGACCTGAAGAAACACAAACAAGTTCTCAATAAAAAAAATATTTCAATTCTCTAAACAAAACAATAAGTAAAATGAATACTTGGATATATCTTGTATTTGTCTGTATGAAGCTACAGCCTGTTAGCTTAGCATAAAGACTGTAAACAGAGGCAAAGAGCTAGCCTGGCTCTGTTTAAAAGTAAAATCTTTGTATGCATTAAACAAATGACATGTTTATTGGTGAGCTTAGATCTGATTTTGTTACCTTGGAACAGAGACAGGATAGCCATGTCCCCCTTTATTCCAAGCTAAGATAACTGGCAGCTATGTGTAGCTTCATATTTGGTGGACACATATCAGAATGGCATCAATCTTCTCATTTAACTCGTAGCAAAAACGCAACTAAATTTAAGAATACTTGAAGTGGTAGGACGCAGATGCACTTACTTGAGAGCTTGGATCTCCTCTGATGAGGCCAATGAGGCGATGCTTAAGGACACTGGCTCTTTCTTCTTCTCCATCTATGAACAAACAGCACCAAGACAATCAGGTATCTGCTGTATGTTGACTGTAGCTTAAATTATTCATGATTACATTGAAAGTTACCTCACTCAACATGCTCAGGGCCACGTTGATGGTGGCCAGCAGGGTCCCAAATGACGGAGCCACGTCAGGGTCAAACGCCGGAGTTGTGAAGCTGAGCACAAACAGGGTTCGATACTCTGCCAAGTCCATACTCTGATGGGAGGACAGGAACATAAATGTCAACATGTGGCATGGTTTCTTATGATGATGCTCATGGAAATGTGCTAATAATCTAGGAACAAAATACTAATTCAACTAATTGAGCACCATTACAGCAGAATAAGCAGGCTGACCTGGTCCAGGAGGATTTGGCAGCAGTCTGGAGTGAAGTGCTGCAGAGTTGCCAAGGTTTTGCTGAGGATCTTCAAAAGACTGCACTGCACAGCCAACAGGGCCTTCTGCTCGGCTTCCTCTCTCTCCCCTCCACCTGCTGCCTCTTTAGACGGGGTCTGGGGGGCCCGCTGTGTCCTGGGAAGGGGACCAGGGGGCAACGCTTCACCATTTTTGGCCTAAAAAAAAGACAAAAAACACAGCCATTATTCATATGAATAAATAAACATCATCAAAACATTTTTAGTTGACTCTTGTGGCAGTAAAGTCTTCTTGGGTGCTTCTGATCACAACTCTTGTGAGCTGTCATTATCAAATCACATGAAGGCAGACGATTCACTGGTTTCTGACCTGGAGGTAGTGATGAAGCATCTTCTTGCTGTGAAGCAGATAGGTGCAGGTCTGGCACAGATAACACAGGTTTACCTGCAGGGAGGGGACAGAAAGAAACCTAGTGACTAACTGAATACTGAAGTGTCACTGCACCAGTGGAGCCGCAGTGTTATCTCTGCTGATGTGGAGCTTTCCTCTGGACTTGCCTGAACGTCTCTGAGCAGTTTGGGCAGGTGAAACTGCCACTCTTTACAGAAGCTTGATAGCTGCAGCAAGAAACCAACCGTGTGATCCGCCTCGTCCAAACACGCCAGGCTCTGCACTGTTCGCACTGCATTCAGACACTGAGCGGGACAGAAAAGGTAAACATAAAGATTAGTTACACTATAGTCTGAGTGGGTGGAAGTTCGCTGCATAGATCAGCCTCTCATTGGGCGGAACGAGCCACCCGCTGAAGTCCCGCCCTACCACCTCCGGTAGCAGTTTTCAACACGTCCTTTACTAACTTTTGCGGTGTTTGATCTTGCAGGGATATAGCCATTTTTCTGCCATGGTTCGCGTCCTGTAGGCGATATTTTTGTGGGCGTGTTACACCAAAACCTGTTTCCCCCCGGCAATATTTTTGCAAGCGCACCGTTGCTGTGGCACTGCCAAGAACGATTGTGATTGGTTGAAAGAAATAAAAAAAGCTGGGGTGTTTTTTTTCTCCAATCTTAAAGTGAGAGTCGGCGCAGCCAGACCTTTCTTTTCTTGAGAAAGGTCTGGTGAGCGAGACTAGTTATACTATAGATCCTAATGTGCTTTTTCTTTTAACATACTGCAGATGGAACTTATAGCAAGTTAATTTCTGTAAATATGATGGCAAATGCATTTTTAAAATCTTGATTGTCTTGATCTGTCTCCTTACATCAAATGCAAAAGAATAAAGTGTAGAAGAAAAACACAGATTCCAGTTTCTAAAATGTAATCTCTAAAAACAGATGTGTATGCAGAACATGAAGGCGATGGGGCAAGATTTTGATATTGAAAGTGGTCTGGTGTCCGTTTGTAGTAGTATTGAACAATCATGTTTGAACAGTCTGTGTGGAGAGGCAGATTTGACTGGCTGAAATGCAATTCAGTCTGATGACAATTTAGCTTTTTATTTGCTTTTTAACATGTATTTATTTACATTCATATACAGATATCAGTTTATTGAGATAAGCCTAAATGAGCGGCACACAGAGGAGGAAGTCTTAGCCCTGATATCTGCTGGCTGCACTGGATCAGCCTAAAATATTGGCCCTCGCCCCCAGAGGCTTTACTGTCATCAGATGACAGCCTATGGGTTTCCTTCATCTTTTATAGTAGTAAACTGAATAACATTGTGTATTTGGACTGCTTGGACAAAACTGGCTGAATAACTTCTATATGGGATCTAGGGAATAAATGGCCCCGACACACCAAGACAACGGCTGGCCATTTGTCAACGTCAGGCCATTGGTGAGCAGCCACCCTAATTTTGGCAGTGTGTCCCGCACAATTGGCAGCAATTAGCCCTTGTTGGCTTTTTCTTTTTTTTAATGCAGATTCAGCGTTGCACCTGGTGGAGCCCATCAGTGAATGAAATAACTCTGATTGGCAGTTCAACTCAGTGCACAAGGGAGTATGGTAAACATTCTTTGTTGTTTCAACATCAGGTAGTGATGTTAATGTGCTAACTGGCTAACTAGAATCTTGAATCTGTCCTGTCGGTCTTCTGATTTCTGTTTTTGAATGACAAATACAGATTACCACCACCTGCTGATATGGAGAGTTGTTTTGTCTCACGCAGGCGCAGAACATCTGTGCTGGTTGGTCGTTGGCTGTAGTCTTTGCGATGTGTTTAGAACGCTTTACCACAATAATAAAACTTTCACTACAGTCATACCTGTAATATGCGTTCTTGATGTACTCCGACAAAGTCCAGGGCTTCATTGATGAAGTTGTAACGCAGAGTCTTGAGCAGACTCTCCATTAAAGACATGCAGAGGCGGTACACCCCCGGCCAGCAGGCGGAGTCCTGGGACTTCCGGGAGAAACTCTGCTCAGAGACATGGACACACTATGTTATTGTATCATGTTCATGCAGTGCTATGTTTCTGTATAGGGACTGAAATCATTTCATTTTTTTTCACCTGTGATGCTCCATTTGAAGACACCTCGTAGACACTCAGAAGAGGGAGGCAGATAGTCTGGATGACTCCTGCTCCGGCTACAGCTGCTGCCCCCTGGAGGAAAAATGAAGACACCCTCAACATTTTCTTTTTTTTTTGGTAAACATCACAGGCATCTGTGCAAAAGACTGCAGTAATCAGTAAGTTGG